ACTCCATACAGCCCGGTTAAAGCCTGATTTTTTTTTTTCTAAACCATTTAATCAAATAAAAATGTTGTAGACTCCAATGTTATTAATTTCTACTCATAAATTCAATTTATCAAACCAGATTACACACACACAAAATCCGATTAATTGATTACAATTTACTTTTACATACAAGCTAAGGAGATTGATATAGGAGACGATGACGATGTGTAATGATTGAGCGTCTTGGCTAGTGGTGACGATGAGGATGTCGGTGGAGCGGTGTTGGGTTGGTATTGAGATGGAGATGTAATGTTTTTTCTGATGGAAGTAGATTAATAGAGGATTAGAGGCAGGGGCGGAGCTAGAAGGGGACGAGTGGGGACACTTGTCCCCCCATTTTCAAAAAAAAAAAAATTAAAAAAAAAAAAAATTTAAAAAAAAAAAAAAAAAAAAAAAAAATGCAATTACAGATTTACAATCCTGTTGCGTTGCGACATTTTCCAGCCAGCCAAAGCCAAACCCTAAGTTTTTCAATTTTCAATTTCTCTCTCTTCGATTCGCCCTCGCCTTCGTCCGTTCGCCGGCAGTTCGCACTTCGCAGCAGTGACGAGGTTCAACAGCCGCCCTTGAGCCTTCGTCCTTCGTGACTTCGTGTGTTCGTGACTTCGTCTGTTCGACTGTTCGTCAATCGCCTAGCCGGCTCGCCGTGACGCCGTCCACCGTTCGCCGGCAGTTCGCAGCAGTGACGAGGTTCAACAGCCGCCCTTCAGCCCTTGAGCCTTCGTCCTTCGTGAATCGTGACTTCGTGTCTTCGTGACAGCGTGACTTCGACACTTCGTCTGTTCGAGTGTTCGTCATATGCATTTCAATGGAGGTATGAATCAATGAATGTATGATTAATTGAATAATTGATTACTTGTTTTGTTGTTTAAATGTTTAATTGTTTAAATTTACAGTAAATCTGAAATTCTGAATTTCATATTTTTATTACTTGTTTAAATGTTTAATTGTTTATATTTTTATTGTGAATTTGTCATTTGTGGCCTTGTGGGTATTGATTATTGAATAATTTGAATTGATAAATGATTATTGATTTATATTTGTTTGATTGTTTCCCCTGTTAGAGTTTTTGGTTGTTTCCCCTGTTAGAGTTTTTGGTTGTTTCCCCTGTTAGAGTTTTTGGTTGTAAATTATTGAAATGTGTAGTTGAATTAGAAATTTAAAATCTTAGCCTCTTAGGTTTTGTTATTATGTAATGATGTGGATTGTGGTCTTGTGGAAATTGATATATAATTTTCGATTTAATTAGGAAATGTCAAACGATTCACCAAATTCAAACAAATCAAAGGCAACTAAACAACCCGATCTTCGACAATTCTTGTTTAAAAGAACGAAACTCAATGAAAATGAGTCTAATGAAAATGAGTCCAATAACTCACCTTCATTTAGCTCCCCTCAAAGTCAAGAAAATAGTATGGAAATGGGTGGTTCAAGTAATAGTAATGTACCATTAGAGGAAGATTTGGTGTATGATGTTGAACTTCTTCCTCATGATCCGGGAAAAAGAATAAACATTATGGATTACCCCGCAAATGAACGAAATGCTGTTAGGAGGGGTTATATTCTTAAAAAACCTTGCCAACCAAAAACTCATGACTTCCCTACAAGACAAGTGTCTGGTTTGCGTCGCTTTAGTGTTCATTGGTTCAACAAATGGGATTGGCTTGAATATAGTATTGAAAAAGATGCTGCATTTTGTTTTGTATGTTACTTGTTCAAGAATGAAGTTGGTATTAAACCGGGGGGTGATGCATTTGTTGATGGAGGGTTTAGGGCATGGAATAAACCGGAAAGATTTGAGAAGCATGTTGGTGGAATTAAAAGTGCTCATAATCTTGCTTATGAGAAATATGTGAATTTAAGAGATGAAAAAAAGAAATCAATCTTGAATGTGATTGACAATGCAAGTGATGTGATTAAAAGTGAATATTTTATCCGCTTGAAAGCATCTTTATCTTGTTTAAGATTTCTTTTGGGGCAAGGTTTGGCATTTCGTGGACATGATGAAAGTGGGGAGTCATATAATAGGGGTAATTTCCTTGAGCTTTTGAAGTGGTTAGGAGAAAAGGTTGAGGAAGTAAGGATACATACTCTTGAAAATGCACCTAAAAATTGTCAAATGACTTCCCCTCCTATTCAAAAGGACATTATTAACTGTTGTGCCAAAGAAACAACTAGGTGCATAATAGAAGAAGTTGGTGATGATTACTTTGCTATATTGGCCGATGAGTCAAGTGATGTGTCCCAAAAAGAACAACTAGCTCTTGTTTTGCGTTTTGTTGATAGAGATAGTGGAAAGGTAATGGAGCGATTTTTAGGCATTGTTCATGTTGCTAATACTACCGCTTTAACTCTTAAAGATGCAATCATGTCTTTACTTGTTGAACATTCATTGAGCCCATCTATGATAAGAGGGCAAGGGTATGATGGAGCTAGCAACATGAAGGGTGAAATAAATGGCCTTAAGACTTTGATTATGAATGATACTCCAAGTGCCTACTATATACATTGTTTTGCTCATCAACTTCAACTAACATTAGTTGCCGTTGCTAAAAAGAATGATAGTTGTGGTTGGCTTTTCGAGATACTTGGAAATTTGTTGAATGTGGTTGGAGTTTCTTGCAAGAGAAGAGAAATGATTCGTCAAGATCAAGCTCAAGAAGTTGCTCGAGCCTTGGATGTTGGGGATATTGTGAGTGGATCGGGTTTAAATCAAGAACTTGGTTTGAGTAGGCCCGGGGATACTCGTTGGAGTTCTCATTACAAGTCACTTTTAAATGCCATCCTCTTATTTCCTACAATTATTAAGGTGCTTGTACAAATTGGGAAGCATGGTGCATCGGAAGATAAGTTCAAAGCTCAAATTGTTTTAGGACAATTAGAGTCATTTGACTTTATTTTTGTTGCTCACTTGATGTTGACTATTTTTGGATACACTAATGATTTGTGTGTTGCTTTGCAAAGAAAGGAGCAAGATATTGTAAATGCCATGGAACTTGTCACTTATACAAAAACGGTGTTGCAAAAAATGAGGGAGCGAGGATGGGATACTCTCTTAAACAAGGTAATTTCATTTTGCACTAAACATGGTGTTGTTATTCCCACTATGGATTCTCTTTATGTTCCTCATGGAAGATCAAGACGTTTTGTTGAAGAAGCAACAAATGAACATCATTTTCGGGTTGGAATTTTCTTAAGACTAATTGATTTGCATCTTCAAGAACTTGATGAACGATTTAATGAGAGGAATATGGAGTTACTATTATGTATGGCTTGTTTAAGTCCTAAAGATAACTTCTCATCCTTTGATAAAGATAAGGTACTTAAACTTGCCTCTTTTTATCCCGAAGAATTTTCAAGCTTTGATTTGATGGCTCTTGAATATCAACTTGATGTATTCATGGAGAATATGCTAAATGATGAAAGATTTCAAGGTTTAAATGACCTTAATTCTCTTTCTATGATGCTTGTTAAAACCAATAAGCATAAGACTTTTCCTCTTATTCATTTGCTTATCAAGTTGATGTTGATTCTTCCCGTTGCCACGGCAAGTGTTGAAAGAGTGTTTTCTGCAATGACATGTGTCAAAAACAAGTTGCGAAATAGCATGGGTGATCAACTTATGAATGATTGTTTGGTCACTTTTATTGAGAAGGATGTCTTCTTACGAGTTTCCGACGAAAAGATTATTGATCGATTTCAAAGTATGAAGACTCGAAGAATGAACTTGTAATTTTAATGTAATGTTTATGTAATTTTTTTCATCATTTTGAATTGTATGACTAAGTATATATTTGTATTTTGAAATTTTAATATTAAGTATTAACCAATTTGTGTGTGAGTTTTTTTTTTGTTTTTTTTTTTTTTTGTTAAGCTTTTCGTAAGTTAAGCATTTTGTCCCCCTAAGTTGAAAATCCTGGCTCCGCCACTGATTAGAGGAGAGAGTAAAAAGCTTCTCATGTTAGAAGCAAGCTGGGGACTTGGGGAGGCAGGGAGTGCAGGAGAGAGAAACTAAAGGAGTTAGATTTTTTTTTTTAGTTTATATATGAAAGGCCTAAAGGTATGTGACGCTGGGCTTTTATTTTTGGGCTGAAATAAACAAATGCATGTAATTAGATTTGGTTTATAGTTTGATTTTTAGATCTTAATCAGATTTTTAAATATTCATAATTAAATTTTTAACTAAAATAAATTTTTTTTATATTTTTCTAAAAATACACTATATGTTTATATTTAATCGAGCCTGTTCACGAGTTTTCGAGCCGAGCTTTAACTTGCTCGGCTCAGTTTGTTAAGGTTTCGAGCCGAACTCGAACTCGAGTCGAGCCTCGTCGAACCGAGCTTTGACCGAACCGAGCTCAAACAGTTCACGAATAGCAGCTAAGTCTCATTATCACCCCTAGATACGGCCAAGAATCCCTTAAATTAAATTAAGTTGTTGATGTATGTAGTTTTTTCGCTCTTAGCTTGATTTAATGAAGTCACATACTCTCGTCCTTCATCGTTTCCTTCACTTGTTAATACTTTGTTGTTGCACTATAGTTTTCCTGCAAATTTTAAGTATACATCGCGCGCGTCAATATTTTTTAATGTTCTGCGTAATATAAATAAGACAAAATTATTATAAGTTGATAATTTGAACCATATAAAAATTCAAGATTAACACAACAGGATTCCACATTTTATATATATTTTTTTATTTTTATCTATTGGTAATAGTATTAGATGCAAAGTGCAAACATCTTAAAAAATTAATCGCTACTCTATATATTCCTTTTATGTCCATTCCCATTATGGCAATAATATAGATTTTCTCAAGAATCAAACAACTTAAAGGAGTGGTTGTGATACAACATATATGCCACTCTAGAAAGTGCATGTCTTAAATTATCTTAATTTGAGATTCCAACACTTCTATTTAAACCTCAAGGCAATACTTAATTCATAATAAGTCAATTAAAGAAAAAAACAAAGGTTTTAAAATCAAGAGTACGTAATAGTATTTTTAAGAGATAGAAAGAGGAAAAAATGGCTCAGCTTCAAAGGGTTGAAGGCCAAACTGAGCTCAAATGTGATGCTAACAAGTTTTTTGAAATTTGGGGTCAGAACCCGCTCCTTGTATTTAAACTGTGCCCTAAAAAAATCCCAAAAGTTGAGCTAAATGAGGGAGTCTTGGGATAGAGTTGGTGCTGTCATCACTTGGAACTATGTCATTGGTAAGAACATTTTACACTTATTGCTCCATAGCTAGCTTATCGCGATAATAGTTAAGATGTGTTAATCTCATTTTTTGAGCAAATAATTGTTAGTTTACGAGTATTTTTATCAAAATTGATCACTTGAAACTATGTCACCATGATTAAAAAAAACAATTATGAAAATGACCATATCACGTTATTATTATCCTTGTGGTTCTCTAAACACCAAAAAAAAACCATATAATATAACTAAGAACATGTAGTGATGCACAATATTTCTACAAAAATGCCTCCACAGATGAAATTGGGGAACATGCAATCGTCAAGACAAGAATTGAAGAATGTGACATAGAAAACAAGGTTGTAAGCTACAGCTATCTTGGTGGACATATTGTGGAGCACTGCTACAAGACAGTAAAGTCGAAGATGCAAGCAACTCCTAAGGATGGTGGTTGCACTGTAAAGTGGACCATTGAGTATGAGAAGATGAACAAGAATGTACCTGATGCAGATATTTACGTCAATTATCTTCTTGGCATTGCAAAAGATATCGGTGCTTGTCTTTGCAATGTTTGATCAATATAATGGCATGTCAATGAACATCCCATTTTATCTTGTCATGCATGCTAGATCATTATGGTTAAACATGCATGATTTATTACTATGTTAAGTCATGCATTATTGCTGCTAATTAAGTACTAATGGTTATGTATATCACATCCATGCATGTATGTTTGGTTGCTTTAATTTTATAAATAAAGAAGCTCTGTTTTAAGTGTTATATCTTGATTATACTTCCTCTGCCCACAATTATGTGCAACAAAGGAGTATTATTTATGAGATATTAAATATTCTTTTGTTGCACATAATAAATCATTTAATATTTAAAAAGGGTTTAATTTAGATTTTATGTTAAGCGAACGTAATAAATTTGATACAATCCTTATTTAGTGCAAGATTTTTTTTTTTTTTTTTTTTTATTATTTTTTTTTTTTTTTTGCGAATACTTTTGGAGGGAGAATTTTTAATGAAATATTGCCAAGGTCCTTTTAATTTCTCCTTTAGTAATATGTAATAGATAGATTGTTAACCATAATCAGCACAAATCAAACACACAATCAGAGCTGTCAATTCGGGTAAACGGGTCGGGTTTTGGTCGGGTAAGAGTGAGTCAAGTAAACTCGGGTTGGGTCAATTTAGATTAATTTCATAAACAATGCGGGTCGAGTTAGGGTTGGGTCATGCTTGAGTCGAGTCATGTCAAGTCATACGTACACTTCTTATCGGGTTTGGATCAGGTTAAGGTCGGGTACATTTGGGTCGGGTGAACAATATGTCGGGTTTAATTCGGGTTTTCACGGGTTAAAATAGGTTAGGGTAATTCTCGGGTTCGGTTCAAATCAATACTTCGCGGGTTATAATCAGGTCGGGTCATTCTCGGGTTTGAGTCGGGTTCGGTTCAAGTCAATAATTTGCATATTATAAACAGGTCGGGTAATTTTCAATTCGGGTCATCCTCGGGTTCAAGTCGGGAATGGTTCAAGTCAATAATTTGCGGGTTATAATCAGGTTGGGTCATTTCCAAGTCGGGTCATTCTCGGATTCAAGTAGGGTTATGTTCAAGTCAATAATTTGCAGGTTACAATCAGGTCGGATCATTTCCAAGTCAGGTCATATTCGGGTTCAACTAACTATAAATAGATAATTATCATTTTTATCAAGCTAATTATTTCCTTTGACTATAATATATATGGCAATATACTAGGGAACTATAGTCTATTATTTAGGAAGATAACTATCTCCTTTGACCATAAAACAAATATATACTATATTTAACTCTTAAATTTGGGGATGATGCTCCTTTCTTTTGCTAGCCTGGACCGACTTGGTCTTCCAAGACAAAATGCTTTGATCAACAATAATAAGGTGGTCTAAATTGCATTTAAGGTGATTTGAAATTGGGTCAGGAACAATTTGGGTTGAATTTAGGTCGAGTCAATAGCAAGTCGTGTTAATTTCGAGTTGAGTTAGTAACAGATCGGGTTGAATTTTTGGGTTGGGTACGTAAGTAATACTACCTCTGTTTTTTTTTACTTGACCTATTTCTTTTATCACACTTGCCTATACATAAATTTAACGGTCAATAACTTTAATTTTCCATAATTAAAAATTATAGAAGTTATTTAGTATTATGATAGTACCTATGGAAATGAATTCAAAAAGATCACGCATGAATATGTTTGTCCTTTCATGTTATTCACAAAAACAGTCAAAGAAGGGATAGTGAATAGTGTAAAATTCAAAGCATGTCAAGTAAAAAAGAACGGAGGAAGTATGTAAGATAAAATGCGGGTCAGGTCAATAACAAGTCGGGTTAATTTCGGGTCAGGTTTGTAACAAGTTGAGTTAAATTCGGATCGAGTTAGGAACAGGTAGGGTTGACTTCAAGTCAGGTTAGTAACAAGTCAGGTTAAATTTGGGTTTTGACGGGTTAAACGAGTTTGGTTCAATTTCAGTTCAAGCCGTGTTTGGTGCAAGTTAATTAAATTGGCTGTTGTAAACCGATAAATTGGTCGTTTAAGAGCAAATTGAATGGTTCCACACACCTAATTAGACTCCCAGAGGGTATTAGGGATCATGGTAAACATTTTGGCAATTTTTATTTACGGGCGGAAAAAAGTCAAAAAATTCCAATATTGAAGGCTAATATCCACGCTTTTGAGAAATTTAGGAGGTTTCGGGGCCCGGTGTAAAAAGTCTTGAAATTCTATGGGATACATTTCAAGGTCATATAATGCCGTTTGGAACCATATATGACCATTATTTATTGTCGTAAATGTTCGTGGAAGGCTTGAACTAATGAAATTGGTATAAGTTGTAAACCGGTAAATTGGTCGTTTAAAGACAAATTGGATGGTTCCACCCACCCAATTGGACTTCCTAAGGGTATTAGGGACCATGAAAAACATTTCGGAAATTATTTTTTTCGGGCGAAAAAATTAAAAAATTTCAAAATTGAAGGCTAATATACACGCTTTTTAAGAAATTTTGGAGGTTTCGGGACCCGTTGTAGAAAAGTATTAATATTTTAGGGGATAAATCTCGGGGTCATATAATGACGTTTGGTACCATATATAATCATCATATGTTGTCATAAATGTTCGTAGTAAACTTCAGTTAATGAAATCCGTGCAAGTTGTAAACCGATAATTAAATTGGCCATTTAAAGGCAAATTGGATGGTTCCACCAACCCAATTAGACTCCTGGAGGGTATTAGGGACCATGATAAACATTTCGGAAATTTATATTTCTGGGCAAAAAAAAGTCAAAAAATTCCAAAATTGAAGACTAATATCCATGCTTTTTGAGAAATTTTGGAGGTTTCGGGGCCCAAAGTTGAAAAGTCTTGAAATTTTAGGGGATACATCTCGGAGTCATATAATGTTGTTTGGAACCATATATGATCATTATTTGTTGCCATAAATGTTCGTGATAGGCTTGAATTAATGAAATCTATGCAAGTTATAAACCGATAAATTGGTCATTTAAAGGCAAATTGGATTGTTCCACCCACCCAATGGGACTCCCGGACGATATTAGGAACCATGGTAAACATTTCGGCAATTTTTATTTGCGGGCGAAAAAAAGTCAAAAATTTCAAAATTGAAGCCTAATATCCACACTTTTTGAGAAATTTTGGAGGATTCGGTGCCCGGTGTTGAAAAGTCTTGAAGTTCTAATGGTTACATCTCGGGGTCCTTTAATGCCATTTAGAACCATATATGATCATTATTTGTTGCCATAAATGTTCATGGTAGGCTTGAGTTAATGAAATCGGTGCAATTTATAAACTGTTAAATTGGTCGTTTAAAGGAAAATTGGATGGTACCACCCACCTAATTGGGTTCCAGGATTGTATTAGGGACCATGGTAAACATTTTGGCAATTTTTATTTATAGGCAACAAAAAGTCAAAAAATTCCACTATTTAAGGCCCGGTATCGAAATTTTAAAGGCAAATTGGATGGTTCCACCCAGCCAATTGGATTCCTGGAGAATATTAGGGACCATAGTAAACATTTTGGCAATTTTTATTTACGAGCAAAAAAAGTCAAAAAATTCCGAAAGTGAAGACTTAATATCCACGCTTTTGAGAAATTTTGGAGGTTTCGAGGCCCGTTGTTGAAAAGCCTTAATATATTAGGGGATACATCTTGTGGTCATATAATGCCTTTTGGAACCATATATGATCATTATATATTGTCATAAATGTTCGTGGTAGGCTTGAAGTAATGAAATCGGTGCAAGTATTAAATTGGCAAATTGGTCTTTTAAAGGCAAATTGGATGGTTCCACCTACCAAATTGGACTCCAGGAGGGTATTATGGACCATTGTAAACATTTCGGCCATTTTTATTTAAGGGCGAAAAAAAGTCAAAAAATTCAAAAATTAAAGGCGAATATCTACGCTTTTTGAGAAATATGTAGTGTTTGGGGGTCCTGTGTCTAAAAGTATTGAAATTGTAGGGAATACATCTCGGGGTTATTTAATGTCGTTTGGAACCATATATTATCATTATTTGTAGTCATAAATGTTCGTGGTAGGCTTGAGTTAATGAAATCGGTGCAAGTTGTAAACCGGTAAATTGGTTGTTTAAAGGCAAATTGGATGGTTCCACCCACCCAATTGGTAGGGGTGTCTGTTCGGTTTTCGGTTTGGATTTAGTCCAAATCCGACCCAATCCGAAATAAAATTCGGTTTTCAATTTTCCGATACGATCCGATCCGAATTTCTCTCTTGATCCAATCCGATCCAATCCGAATTAAAATTCGGTTATTTGGATCCGATCCGAAAATCCAAATTATAATACATTATTTTTTTAGCGCCTAACACAATTATAAAAACAAAGCTGTACTATAAATAAAATTCTTCAAAATCATGATTAAAATAAATAGTTCAACGTCAAGTCATTAATTAATTAATACAAAGTCTCTCTAATTTATTTTATGTAGTAGTAAGTATTTGAGCTAAAATTCAAAATATACAGAAATCCATATTTATACAAGCTTAATTTTACAATTCGGTTTTCGGTTTGGATTGGATCCAATTAGGGTCAATCCGATCCAATCTGAAAATCCGAATTTCCAAAAAATCTCAATCCGATCCGATTTAAAGTTCGGATCCGATTCGAATTGATAATTCGGTTTGGATTGGATTGGATTTTAGTTTTTATCCGAATTATGGACACCCCTACCAATTGGAATCCCGGAAGGTATTAGGGACCGTGGTAAACATTTCAACAATTTTTATTTCAGTGCGAAAAAAAGTCAAAAAAATTCAAAAATTGAAGGCTAATATCCATGTTTTTTTTTATAAATTTCGATGGTTTTGTGGCCCGGTGTTGAAAAGAAATGAGATTTTAGGGGATACATCTCGGTGTCATATAATGTTGTTTGGAACCATAAATGATCACTATATGTTGTCATAAATGTTCATGGTAGGCTTGAGTTAATGAAATCGGTGCAAGTTGTAAACCGATAAATTGGTTGTTTAAAGGCAAATTGGATGGTTCCTCCCACCCAATTGGACTACCGGAGGGTATTAAGGATCATGGTAAAAATTTTGGCAATTTTTATTCCCTGGTAAAAAAAAGTCAAAAAATTCCAAAATTGAAGGCTAATATCCACGCTTTTTGAGAAATTTTGGAGGTTTCAAGGCCAGTTGTAGAAAAGGTTTGAGATTTTATAAGATACATCTCAGGGTCATATAATGTTGTTTGAAACCATATATGATCATTAGATGTTGTCAAAAATGTTCGTGGTAGGCTTGAATTGATGAAATCGGTGCAAGTTGTAAATCGGTAAATTGGCAGTTTACAAACAAATTTAATGGTTTCAGCCACCCAATTGGACTCCCTAAGGGTATTATAGACCATGGTAAATATGTCGGCACTTTTTATTTCTAGACAATAAAAAAATAAAAAATTCTAAAATTGAAGGTTAATATCCACGCTTTTTGAGAATTTTGGAGGTTTCGGGGCCCGGTGTCGAAAAGCCTTTATATTTTAGGGGATAAATCCCGGGGTCATATAATACCATTTGGAACCATATATATCATTATATGTTGTCATAAATGTTTGTGGTAGACTTGAGTTAATGAAATCGGCGCAAGTTGTAAACCGGTAAATTGGCTGTTGAAAGGTAAATTGGATGGTTCCACCTACCCAATTGGACTCCGAGAGGGCATTAGAAACCATGGTAAACATTTAGGCAATTTTTATTTCCGGGTGATAAAAGTAAAAAAAATTCAAAAATTGAAGGCTATATCCATGCTTTTGAGATTTTTTTAGTCTTCGGGACCCGGTGTCAAAAGGCATTGAGATTTTATTGGATACATCTCGAGGTCACATAATGCTGTCTAGATCCATATATGATATGATCATTATATGTTATCATAAATGTTCGTGGTAAGCTTGAGTTAATGAAATCGGTGCAAGTTGTAAACTGGTAAATTGGTCGTTTAAAGGAAAATTGGATGGTTCCACCTAACCACATCCAATTGGACTCCTGGAGGGTATTAAGGACCATGGTAAACATTTCGGCAATTTTTATTTTCGGGTGAAAAATAGTCAAAAAGTTCCGAAATTGAAGGCTTAATATCCACGCTTTTTGAGAAATTTTTGAGGTTTCGGGTAAAGCTTTCAATTCGGGTAAACGAGTCGGGTTTGGGTTGGTAAGAGTTGGTCGGGTAAACTCGGGACGGTTCAATTAAGATTAATTCTATAACTTATGCGGGTCGGGTTTGGGTTGGGTCATACTTGAGTCGAGTCATGTTGGGTCATACTTCTTATCGGGTTTGGGTCAGGTTTAGGTCGGGTTAATAACAGGTCGGGTGAACAATATATCGGGTTTTCACGGGTTAGGGTAATTCTCGGGTTCGAATCGGGTTGGGTTCAAGTCAATAATTTGCGGGTTAGAATCAGGTTGGGTCATTCTCGGGTTTGAGTCGGGTTCGGTTAAAGTCAATAATTTGCGGGTTATAATCAGGTCGGGTCATTTTCAAGTCAGGTTATTCTCGGTTTCAAGTCGAGTTCAATTCAAGTCAATAATTTGCGGGTTATAATCAAGTTGGGTCATTTCCAAGTCGGGTCATTCTCGTAGTCAAGTCAGGTTCTATTCAAGTCAATAATTTGCAGGTTACAATTAGGTCGGGTTATTTCCAACAAGTCAGGTCATATTCGGGTTCAACTAATTATAAATAGATAATTATCATTTTTATCAAGCTAATTATTTCCTTTTTGACTATAATTTATATGGCAATATACTAGGGAACTATAGTTTATAATTTAGGTAGGAAGATAATTATCTCCTTTTACCATACAACAAATATATACTATATTTAACTCTTATTTTTGAGGATGATGCTCCTTTCTTTTGCTGGCCTAGACCGATTTGGTCTCTCAAGACAAAATGCTTTGATCAACAATAATAAGGTGGTCTAAATTGCATTTAAGGTGATTTGAAATCGGGTCAGAAACAATTTAGGTTGAATTTAAGTCGAGTGAATAACAAGTCGTGTTTATTGCGGTCAGGTTAGTAACAGATCCGGTTGAATTTCTGGGTCGGGTTAGTAATAGGTCTTGTAAAATTTGGGTCGGGTCAATAACATGTCGGGTTGAGTTTGGGTCAGGTCAATAACAAGTCGGGTTGATTTCGGGACGGGTTTATAGCAGGTTGGGTTAAATTCGAATCGGGTTAGGAACAGGTCAGGATGAATTCAGGTCAGGTTAGTAACAAGTCGGGTTAAATTCGGGTTTTGACGGGTTAAAACGGGTTTGGGTCAATTTCGGTTCAAGTCAAGTTCGGTTTAGGTCAATAACTTACAGGTTATATTTGTGTCGGGTCATCTCCAGGTCAGTTCATGTTCGGGTTTGGATCTCACATACTCGGGTCAACTCGGGTCTATGATTGGTTTCAGGTCGGGTTTGGGTCACCATTTTTTCGGGTTCAGATGGGTCGGTTCATAATCGGGTTTGAGTCGGTATTTCGAGTTGGGTGAATTTTTGACAGCTCTACACACAATACCTGAATCAGTAGATAGATCCGCTTTTATTTATTTCTTATCAAACCCCTTTTACACATACAAGTGGAAGTAGGGCCTCCAACCATTAAGTAGACCTAATTTTTTTCTCAATACCATCACTTGATGCGGCCAAGCATCCCTTGATTTATTTGTTTAATTTCAATGTAATAATATATATAGATACAAAAAATATATTGCGTAATAAGTTGGTATTTTAATTTGAAACCTCACTAATAAAACAGGATTCCGCATTGTTATAATATTTTTTTTTTTTTGACAAAAACATTGATATAATTTTATTAAATGTATAGAGTTGCAAATTGAAACAACTTGCATAAAGGAAGGAAACAAATTGATCGACCACTACTCTATATATTCCTTATATGTCCATTCCCAACATGGCAATAATAAAGACTTTCTCAAATAAAAAATAGGGAATCGAACAAGTTGGAGTGGTTCATAGTGATACAATATTCTAGAGAGTGCATCTCTTATCCTAATTTGAGCCCCCCAACATATCTATTTGTTAGAGATATCGGAAAATATACATATATTTTCCGCTATCTCTAACACTATTTAAACCTCGACACATAACATATTTCATTCATAAGTTGGTTAAAGAAAGAGAAAAAAAAAAGGCATATTTAGATCAAGAGATAGAAAGAGGAAAAAATGGCTCAACTTCAAAAGGCTGAAGGTCAAGTTGAGCTCAAATGTGATGCTGATAAGTTTTTTGAAATTTGGGGTCAGAATCCGTCCCTTGTATCTAACATGTGCCCTATTAAATTTCCAAAAGTTGAGCTTAATGAGGGGGAGTGTTGGGATAGAGTTGGTTCCGTCATCACTTGGAGCTATGTCATTGGTAAGAACATTTTACACTTATTGTGATAATATTTAAGATATGTTAAGTTCAAATTATTTGAGTAAAACTTTTCTTACGAGTACAATTTTTTTACAAAAATTATCAGATTGAATCAAATCATTACTGAGTACTTATTTGTATATGTTAACTTATTGCTAAATACCTTTATTTGTGTGGTAAAAAAAAAAAAAAAAAAAAACAATTATGAATATGACCATGTCATAATTATTATTCTACAAATTTTTGATCAGGGGTTACTTTTAGAGTGTTACTTATTTGGTATTGGGGTTTAGTTTGGGGTTACTTGTATGGGTTACTTACAAGTAACTCATACAAGTAACCCCAAAATACAAGTAACACCTACAAGTAACTCATACAAGTAACCCCAAAATACAAGTAACACCTACAAGTAACTCATACAAGTAACCTAAAATACAAGTAACACCTACAAGTAACTTCTTTTAAAACCAGTAACACCCTATATATAACCCCTACTGCACTAAAAAACTTCTGTTATTATTATTATGACGCGAATAAATAATGATGCACAATAATTTCTAACAATGCCTCAACAGATGAAATCGGGGAACATGCATTTGTCAAGACCAGAGTTGAAGAATGTGACAAAGAAAACAAGCTTGTAAGCTACAACTATCTTGGTGGACATATTGTGGAGCAGTACTACAAGACATTAAAGTCGAGGATTCAAGCAATTCCAAAGGATGAAGGTTGCACTGTAAAGTGGACTCTTGAGTATGAGAAGATGAATGAGAATGCACCTGAAGCAGATCTTTACACCGATTATCTTCTTGGCACTGCTAAAGATATCGATGCTTGTCTTTGCAATGTTTGATCAATAATGGCATGCCATTTATCTTGTCATGAATGCTAGCTAGATCGATCTCATGGTTATACATGCATGTGTTTTGCATGATTTACTACTACCTTAAATTATCTACTAGTACTATTACTACAAATTAAATGTTGCAGCTAATAGTGTTTATTTTGGCTGTAACTTTTAAAATATTAAGGGTTATGCATATGTCACATGCATGGATAATGTATGTTTTGGTAGCTTTATAAATAAAGAAACTCTCTCTTAAGTGTTAAAACATTGATTATACATATAAGATGGAAGTTTTGTCTTGTAAGGAAGCATGCATAGAATGTGGTTGTTTCTGCATAGGTCCTTTGAATGTAGAAAAAAAAAATGAAATCAAGTCATTAAAGTTACTCCCTCCGTGTTTTTTTAAGTGTTACAGTTTGACCGGTACATAATTTTAGGCAATTTAATGACTTAAATAAAATAAGAGGTAAGTGGGGTAGTTGAAGTATTAAAAAATTGTAAAAGAAAGATAGTGGTGTTAATAGTTTATTGAAAAGTAATGAATGTGAGAGGAGAATTATAATAAAAAAAAGTAGTAGTAGGTTTGGATGGGGACCATGAGATGAGAGAAATATAATATTTTAATGTATTTTTGCCAAAATGAGAAGTGTAACACTTATTAAAACACGGCCAAATTTGGTAAATGTAACACTTAAAAAAACAAGGAGTACATAAATTAAAAATGATGAAAAAATACAAGGGCTACGAACGTAATTTGTTCCAATACATGCCCTCAAAAAAGATAGTAGAAGGCTTGTGACCTAGCCTGAATTAGGGTCAATAAGTTGGTCTAACTTGTACATTGATCCTAACTAATTGTTCTTCCGTGTTTTCCTTATAATTCGTTGAATCATTTTGATATTCATGTTTAGCAATATATGTAATTTCACCTTTTATACCTTTAATTATTATTAAATATTGCTGTCAAAAAAAAATTATTATTAAATAAAGGGAAAGTTGGTATTAATAGCAAGAACTTTTAACAAGGTGCACGTAATAGCATGAACTTTGACTAATAGCAGTAATTATACCAACTTTGTCGTTGGGTGCACAAAATATCATAAATAAAACCCAACACCAAAAATTTTGTTGAAGAAGCGGTAAATTAAATACTTCAACTTTTTGCAAATTTTGACCTCATGGTATTTAGTCCTAAAACTTTAAATTGACCCAAGACCTTAACCGAGACATTTTATAGCACGAATACTGATTTTTTTGGTAAGTTTATGCTAAATTTGATCTCAAAATTGAGCCCTACGGACTATTATGACCCCCAAAACCTTGTCTGATCGATCATTCTTCCGGCATGCAAATCAAGGCACACAGACCAAGATGATTTTGATAAAAAAAAATATTAAAGATATATTATCATCAAAAAAATCTATGGTGTAGAGTTTCATTTATGATATTTTGTGCATACGAAAAAGTTTATGTTGTTTTAGCTACTAGTCCAAGTTCATGCTGCTACGTGCAACTTGTTGAAAATTTAAGTTGTTGAGGCCAATTTTGCTTTACTAAATTACATTGCATAAATAAGACTTGGGTTTAGCTCTTTTAATTTCAAAATGTAGACCTTTATCTCCAAACTATTTGTTTCTAAAAAATAAAGAATAACGAAGAATTAAAAAAAAAAAAAATCCTAGCTTCTGCTTTCTCTCTTCTCTATCCAAAACTCTAGCCTCCATTGTCCGAATGGACTTCCATCCGATTTCACCGGCGAAAAGCTCCAATTTTATTTTTCTTTACGTTTTTTTTTTGTTTTCTATGTTGTACTAATGTCTCCCTTGAAAGAAAGAGTTTATCTCCTTCGAAAGATAAGGTTTTTTCGATCTCGTTTGAAATACAAGGTTTTATTTGCGCTTAATTTGGTCTCTTGCTGTGCCGGGCTACGATTGATTATTGCTCGGTTTCGGGTTACGAAATGAGCACAATAATTTTCTTTCTCACAAATTTGTGAAGCAGTATTTGATCTACTCAAAAAGTTGTATGATACAAATAATCAAGAATGTGTTGAATTGTTATATCTATATATTTGGATTTTTAGCCCTTCCTAGTTAATTCTTGTTTGATTTTGTTAAATTTATTTTCATTATCATTGATTTTCAATTGTAGATGTCATATGACTTTAATTGATGAAATATAATGTCCTTTAGGATTTTTATTCAAATAAATAAATAAATAAATAATAAAATAAAGCAAAAATCTCAAATAAATAACAATGCAAATAATTCAAAGGTTTTATTCCAAGATTCCAACACCAAGAATATGATCTAGTTATATATATATATATATATATATATATATATATATATATATATATATATATATATATATATATATATATATATATATATATATATATATATATATATATATATATATATATATATATATATAAGTGCATCAGATTGATGCCTTCCTCATTATTAAATCAGAATTTCTCCTTTTAAAGAAATAATGGAAAATGAATCTTCAATAAATTTAAAGGAGTGGTTCAGTTCAAAGTGAAGAAATATTTAAAATTAAGTGCATTAGTGTATGTTATGTACTTATGTGGTCTAAAAGCAAGCAAAACCCTAACCCTTTCTCATTATTAAATCAGAATTTCTCCTTTTAAAAAAATAATGGAGAATGAGTCTTCAATAAATTTAAAGGAGTGGTTCAATTCAAAGTGAAGAAATATTGACCTTGATATTTTGATCAATGAGGGAAATTCATATCTATTTTCTACTTATAAAAGGCACCCTTGCTCTTGCATACCCTCCGACAATCGATCAAAGTTAAAGCCTAAATTTCTCAATAATATTAATTAGTAAGGTTTAAGAGAAGAAGAAGTGGCTCAACTTGAAAGGATTGAAAGCCAAGTTGAGCTCAAATGTCACGCCGACAAGTTCTTTGATGTTTGGGCTAGCAAAGCACACCTTATTTCAAAAATAACCCCTAACAAAGTTGCCAAAGTTGAGCTTGTTGAGGGGGATTGGGATAAGGTTGGTGCTGTATGTAATTGGACTTATAAGTAAGTACTTCTTATTAAGTATTATTTTGATCTTAACACGTACTTGCTTTGTGCCGTTGTTTTTAATAGGGGTGAGCATGCATAACCATATACGTACTTGATCACAATTTTAGGAACCAAACTCGTAACCAGTTGGAACCGATTCCTGAAATTCAAAATGACCTAAAATTTTAGAACTAAACTACCTTGGAAGGCCCCGTTCACTTCACTTTATTTTTGCTGAACTGAAATTATTTTTACTGAAACAAAACTATATTTGTTGAACTTAAATTATTTTTACTGAACTGAACTTATGCTTCTAGCCCTTTCTTTTTGTTAGGATTTATGTAAGGGATTCTTATTTCACTAATTAATTAAAGGAAAAATACACTTTAATAATCCCAACTATGGGCGATTTATACCTACAATAATCCCAACTATTGATTATTCTACAATAATCCTAACTATTAGGTCAGTTTTCCTCTAGCAGTCCCAAACCGGTCAACAAAAGTCAACAACCTATTATTGTAGGTTGTTTGACACGTGTCAGCGTGTAAGTGGTTTCAAAAAAAAATTTAAAAAAACAAAAAAAAAGAAACTAAAAAAAAAAAAATCTGGCAGCCACCCCTAACCAACACCTCCACCTCCTGCCGCCCAACCACCACCTCCACCTCCGCCGCCCAACCCTAAAACACCACCTTCTCCATCCACCCAAGTCGAAAACGGCTCCCACGACCAGCCGCACCCCCGAAACCGGCCAAAACACCAAGCCCTTGCCCGTGAAACCACCATTAGCCCCAAATCGCAGCGTGGGTATTCTTGGGTATTTGTGGGTGTTCGTGGGTATTCGAAGGTGTTCGTGAGAATTCAGTGGTTGTTCGTCGGTGTTTGTGGGTGTTAGTCGGTGTTTGTGGGTGTTCGTCAGCGTGGGTGTTTGTGGGTGTTCGTTAACGGAGGAGAGAGAAAAAGGCACGAGAAGGAGAGAGATCGAAGGGAGTTTCGTGGTGGTTGAGAACAGCAGCGTGGGGCTGCGCTGCTGCAATTGGTCGGAGGGGGTAGGTGAACGGTCGAGGCGGCGGGGCCGCGTTGTTGGGCGAAGAAAAAGCATGAGCCACCATGGCCTAGGGTTTCATGGTGGGACGGTGTAAGGTGGTTGAAGGGAGGAGGGGGGTGGCTGGGATGACTTTTGATTTTTTTTTTCTTTTTATTTTATTTTTTTATATTAAGCCAATCATGTGTTGACATGTGGCGTTTAAAAAAAAAAGAGTTTACCCTCTTAGCAGGTAACCGGTTTTTGGGACTGCTGGAGGAAAACTCACCTAATAGTTAGGATTATTGTAGAATAATCAATAGTTGGGATTATTGTAGGTAAATTGCCCATAGTTGGGATTATTAAAGTGTATTTTTTCTTAATTAAAAACATCTAACAATTAACATTTTTTCAAAAATACATTAAGTTACGAATTTTGATGGTATTTATCGATTGAAAAATCTTAACAATCTTAATAATTTATGAATTTGCCATTGTAGACAATAACGGTGAGACCACATTAAGTTCAGCCAAGACAAGAGTTGAGAAGCTGGATTTTGAGAACAGGTCGTTGAGGTACAGTATTGTTGACGGACAAATCCTACAAACCTACAAGACCTTCACGACCAACATACAAGTAACTCCGAAGGCCGAGGCCGAGGCCGAGGGCTGCATTATGAAGTTAAGCTATGAATATGAGAAGCTGAATGAAGGTGCTCCTGAACCAATTATGCACAAGGATTTAGCATTTGACATTGCAAAAGATATCGATGCTCATCTTTGCAGCGCTTGATGATGATGAATTGATGATACGCAATGTTTTCATGCTTATTATGTATGGTGCATTTATGCATACATATTACTTGATGGGGCTGATTACAAGATTATAAGCTACAATTAGCCACCTTACAATAAATAAACGTCATGTTATATTGTAAAACTTTCAATTTTTAAGTGTGTATCAGGCTATCAACTAGTGTGTGATCAAAGCTATTTATTATAAGAAAACTAGCGTGTGATCCGAGCTATTGCCCGTATTGTTAGTTTGTACTACTTGTTTAGTTTGCTAATCATGAAAGTGTTTTCTTTTCGTATTTTGATAATTATCTTGAAATTTTATGACTTGATCGAAAAAAGATTTGTATTAGGAGAGCCATATTAATATTTGATATATTAGGGAGTAAATTAAAGATATTCAACAACTATTGACTATTTAACAGATAAATTTTTCATCAAATAAAAAACAATACAAGTACATAGTTTTACAAACTTCAAAATTAAAGTTGTTTAATAATGAAATACATAATAAATAGTACAATTAGATATTAATTATCTTATCCAAGTTAAATATAATTTTATTGGATAGAAATCAATCAATCAATCAATAACTATATACTAAAAGACACACCAGCAATGACACCCACCAGCAATGACACGTGTTATCTCCTGGTGTGTCTTTTAGTTTTGATTTTTTATTTTTTTTTGGTTAAAATTTATTTAATGTAAATTTTTAGTAAGGTAAATAAAGATGGGCTAAAACGTAAATTGCCTTAATTGTACTGTACTAAATCAATATAGCAAGAGTTTATTTTATAATAATGTGACATATATTGGAACTTTAACAACAGTGCAATAGCAAGAGACCTAACCTAGTGCATAATATATAGCTAAGATGGTACTTAATATTGTATTAATGTATTTCATTATTGAAATGTAAGGTAACTTAAATTTTAATTCAAAATCATGCCTTGATGCATCTTCGTTAGCATAATGGAACACAGTACTGTACCATGCATCTAATTGATTTGTGTGTGTGTGTGTGGTGGGGGGGGGGGGGGGATTTGTCTAATGGAAAATTGAGTTTTTTTAAAAGCAAATGTTCAATGTCCATGCCCATGCCATTTTTTTCAATTAATAATTTAAATATAGTTGCTCCAAGGTTTTGAATACATGTGATTTATGGAATGAAAAATGAAGATATAAAATTAATCTCCCATTTTTACATTAATGTTCAGTGGTTTTGATAAAAAAATAATAATGTCTTGTAGTTATAACTGTGTAATTATTTATGCCTCCACGGCATCTACACAAAAAGAAAGTATTTTATACTCCGTACTTTTTATTTATCTTACTTACTCCTTCCACTAATGAATTTATGATAAAAAAAAAAACAATTATTTCATATTATGCAATTACTTATTAATTACATCATAACTTCAAAATTTCTCATATACAAAAAATCATACCGAAAATAACAAGCTAGGGTATTACGTTGCCCTGGATACACACTAGGATTCAAATGAAATAAGATTTGATAATTAGATTATGTAGTTATTACCTTGAAATGAGAAAGAAGAGTTCAATGTAAGTAAAAAAAAAAAGGAAAATTTCACATTTGCTACCAGCAAAAGGACCCTACTTCACATTTGCTACCCCTTTAATTTTTTATTTTATATTACTACCACCCAAACACACTAACTGTTATAATCACTACCACTTGACTTACACCGTTAGTATTTCCGTTACCACCACCCAACCACCGTCCAGCCACCACTCCTTCCCACCCACCAGCTGCCAATCCGCCGCAACCACCACTCACCGTCCAGCCCAGCCACCAAGCCCCTCGAAACCCACCTCAATCTCAGCCCCTCTCCCCTCCAAAAAAAGAAAAAAAAAAAGAAAACCTAAACTACCCAGCCACCACCCCCGCGCCACCACCCCTTTCCCCCCTAACTCATCGCACCCCTCCCCGAAACCACCACCCGCGTCGCACCACCAGCCTCAACCCACCTGAACCCTCCCCCTCCCTTTCCCGCAACCGCGTCGCCCCCAAAAACCACTAAAACTAAAACCCTCGTCCCAAAAAAAGGCCAAGAATCTGGCCTTAAAAGGCCAAAATCGGGGAGGGGTGTCGTTATGGACCCATTTAACGGAAAATCTAACGGATTCCGTTAAGTGGTAGTGATTATGAAAGTTAGTGTGTTTCGGTGGTAGTAAAATAAAATAAAATTTTAAAGGGGTAGCAAATGTGAAGCAGTGGCGGAGCCAGGATTTTCAACTTGGGGGGACAAAATGCTTAACTTACGAAAAGCTTAACAAAAAAAAAAACAAAAAAAAAACTCACACACAAATTGGTTAATACTTAATATTAAAATTTCAAAATACAAATATATACTTAGTCATACAATTCAAAATGATGAAAAAAATTACATAAACATTACATTAAAATTACAAGTTCATTCTTCGAGTCTTCATACTTTGAAATCGATCAATAATCTTTTCGTCGGAAACTCGTAAGAAGACATCCTTCTCAATAAAAGTGACCAAACAATCATTCATAAGTTGATCACCCATGCTATTTCGCAACTTGTTTTTGACACATGTCATTGCAGAAAACACTCTTTCAACACTTGCCGTGGCAACGGGAAGAATCAACATCAACTTGATAAGCAAATGAATAAGAGGAAAAGTCTTATGCTTATTGGTTTTAACAAGCATCATAGAAAGAGAATTAAGGTCATTTAAACCTTGAAATCTTTCATCATTTAGCATATTCTCCATGAATACATCAAGTTGATATTCAAGAGCCATCAAATCAAAGCTTGAAAATTCTTCGGGATAAAAAGAGGCAAGTTTAAGTACCTTATCTTTATCAAAGGATGAGAAGTTATCTTTAGGACTTAAACAAGCCATACATAATAGTAACTCCATATTCCTCTCATTAAATCGTTCATCAAGTTCTTGAAGATGCAAATCAATTAGTCTTAAGAAAATTCCAACCCGAAAATGATGTTCATTTGTTGCTTCTTCAACAAAACGTCTTGATCTTCCATGAGGAACATAAAGAGAATCCATAGTGGGAATAACAACACCATGTTTAGTGCAAAATGAAGTTACCTTGTTTAAGAGAGTATCCCATCCTCGCTCCCTCATTTTTTGCAACACCGTTTTTGTATAAGTGACAAGTTCCATGGCATTTACAATATCTTGCTCCTTTCTTTGCAAAGCAACACACAAATCATTAGTGTATCCAAAAATAGTCAACATCAAGTGAGCAACAAAAATAAAGTCAAATGACTCTAATTGTCCTAAAACAATTTGAGCTTTGAACTTATCTTCCGATGCACCATGCTTCCCAATTTGTACAAGCACCTTAATAATTGTAGGAAATAAGAGGATGGCATTTAAAAGTGACTTGTAATGAGAACTCCAACGAGTATCCCCGGGCCTACTCAAACCAAGTTCTTGATTTAAACCCGATCCACTCACAATATCCCCAACATCCAAGGCTCGAGCAACTTCTTGAGCTTGATCTTGACGAATCATTTCTCTTCTCTTGCAAGAAACTCCAACCACATTCAACAAATTTCCAAGTATCTCGAAAAGCCAACCACAACTATCATTCTTTTTAGCAACGGCAACTAATGTTAGTTGAAGTTGATGAGCAAAACAATGTATATAGTAGGCACTTGGAGTATCATTCATAATCAAAGTCTTAAGGCCATTTATTTCACCCTTCATGTTGCTAGCTCCATCATACCCTTGCCCTCTTATCATAGATGGGCTCAATGAATGTTCAACAAGTAAAGACATGATTGCATCTTTAAGAGTTAAAGCGGTAGTATTAGCAACATGAACAATGCCTAAAAATCGCTCCATTACATGTCCACTATCTCTATCAACAAAACGCAAAACAAGAGCTAGTTGTTCTTTTTGGGACACATCACTTGACTCATCGGCCAATATAGCAAAGTAATCATCACCAACTTCTTCTATTATGCACCTAGTTGTTTCTTTGGCACAACAGTTAATAATGTCCTTTTGAATAGGAGGGGAAGTCATTTGACAATTTTTAGGTGCATTTTCAAGAGTATGTATCCTTACTTCCTCAACCTTTTCTCCTAACCACTTCAAAAGCTCAAGGAAATTACCCCTATTATATGACTCCCCACTTTCATCATGTCCACGAAATGCCAAACCTTGCCCCAAAAGAAATCTTAAACAAGATAAAGATGCTTTCAAGCGGATAAAATATTCACTTTTAATCACATCACTTGCATTGTCAATCACATTCAAGATTGATTTCTTTTTTTCATCTCTTAAATTCACATATTTCTCATAAGCAAGATTATGAGCACTTTTAATTCCACCAACATGCTTCTCAAATCTTTCCGGTTTATTCCATGCCCTAAACCCTCCATCAACAAATGCATCACCCCCCGGTTTAATACCAACTTCATTCTTGAACAAGTAACATACAAAACAAAATGCAGCATCTTTTTCAATACTATATTCAAGCCAATCCCATTTGTTGAACCAATGAACACTAAAGCGACGCAAACCAGACACTTGTCTTGTAGGGAAGTCATGAGTTTTTGGTTGGCAAGGTTTTTTAAGAATATAACCCCTCCTAACAGCATTTCGTTCATTTGCGGGGTAATCCATAATGTTTATTCTTTTTCCCGGATCATGAGGAAGAAGTTCAACATCATACACCAAATCTTCCTCTAATGGTACATTACTATTACTTGAACCACCCATTTCCATACTATTTTCTTGACTTTGAGGGGAGCTAAATGAAGGTGAGTTATTGGACTCATTTTCATTAGACTCATTTTCATTGAGTTTCGTTCTTTTAAACAAGAATTGTCGAAGATCGGGTTGTTTAGTTGCCTTTGATTTGTTTGAATTTGGTGAATCGTTTGACATTTCCTAATTAAATCGAAAATTATATATCAATTTCCACAAGACCACAATCCACATCATTACATAATAACAAAACCTAAGAGGCTAAGATTTTAAATTTCTAATTCAACTACACATTTCAATAATTTACAACCAAAAACTCTAACAGGGGAAACAACCAAAAACTCTAACAGGGGAAACAACCAAAAACTCTAACAGGGGAAACAATCAAACAAATATAAATCAATAATCATTTATCAATTCAAATTATTCAATAATCAATACCCACAAGGCCACAAATGACAAATTCACAATAAAAATATAAACAATTAAACATTTAAACAAGTAATAAAAATATGAAATTCAGAATTTCAGATTTACTGTAAATTTAAACAATTAAACATTTAAACAACAAAACAAGTAATCAATTATTCAATTAATCATACATTCATTGATTCATACCTCCATTGAAATGCATATGACGAACACTCGAACAGACGAAGTGTCGAAGTCACGCTGTCACGAAGACACGAAGTCACGATTCACGAAGGACGAAGGCTCAAGGGCTGAAGGGCGGCTGTTGAACCTCGTCACTGCTGCGAACTGCCGGCGAACGGTGGACGGCGTCACGGCGAGCCGGCTAGGCGATTGACGAACAGTCGAACAGACGAAGTCACGAACACACGAAGTCACGAAGGACGAAGGCTCAAGGGCGGCTGTTGAACCTCGTCACTGCTGCGAAGTGCGAACTGCCGGCGAACGGACGAAGACTGCCGGCGAACGGACGAAGGCGAGGGCGAATCGAAGAGAGAGAAATTGAAAATTGAAAAACTTAGGGTTTGGCTTTGGCTGGCTGGAAAATGTCGCAACGCAACAGGATTGTAAATCTGTAATTGCATTTTTTTTTTTTTTTTTTTTTTAAATTTTTTTTTTTTTAATTTTTTTTTTTTGAAAATGGGGGGACAAGTGTCCCCACTCGTCCCCTTCTAGCTCCGCCCCTGATGTGAAGTAGGGTCCTAAAAAAATTGAGGAAGTATGTTTTTCTTGTACTGATTATTGGTATAGTAAAAAAGTGTATACAGCTTTACACAAACCTAACAAAAAGTTTGATTACCCCTCATATTCATTTTATGGCCATTCCCTTCATCATATAATATATATATATTTTATTATTTTTTACATGATAAAATACGGAAGGTGTCCCTCCTATCACATGAGAGTGGGTGAGGATCAAACCCAAGTCACTTTTAGGGGAGATGAAGGGACAAATCGTCCCTCCACTCCTTGATCTTCCTTAACCATACAATATAGGATCTTCTTTTTGAAGTAATAAAGGGGAATCAAACAAGTTAAAGGAGTGGTTCATAGTGATACAACATTCTAGAGAGAGTGCATCTCTTATCTTAATTTGAGCCCTTAACACTTCTATTTAAACCTCAAAACATAACATATTTCATAAGTCAGTTAAAGAATAAAAAAACATATTTAGATCAAGAGTAATTCTATTTTTAATAGAGAAAGACATTAGAGAGAGAAAAAATGCCTCAGCTTCAAAGGGTTGAAGGCCAAACAGAGCTCAAATGTGATGCAAACAAGTTTTTTGAATTTGGGTTCACAAACCATTCCTTGTACCTAAGGTGTGCCCCAACAAATTTCAAAAAGTTGAGCTAAGTGAGGGAGAGTGTTGGGATAGAGTTGGTGCTGTCATAACATGGTATTATGTTATTGGTAAGAACGTAGATCTTACAATTAGGCTATGTTTAGTTCACCTTACTTTTACTTATTTGGTTATATTTTAAATTACTATTTGACCTAATTAGATCTGAACTTATTATTTCTAATATTTTTATACTTAATTTTTCTGATGATGTGATCTAAATTTATTTTATCTAACTGATCGATTTCTTTTCATTCTTATATGATTTTATTGTAGTTACTATTTGACTTATCAAACTTTGATTTAACTAAGGTGGCTAGCGCTGTCGAAGCTAGTCATATTGAGGAGGTTTTTTTAATCTGGTGTTGTGTTATAAATTTATTTGTTAATAGCATTCACGAGGAAAAAAATATGCAAACAAATATTTTTAGGAGTATAGCTGTCAACACAATATATTTTAGGGTAACCAATTAACACTAATGAGGACAAATAGATAAATAAACATTTTAGGGACATAATCGTCTCAACACTTTTCACAAAAGCGTGATTATAATTTCATGCGTAAATAAACATTTTTAGGGGCATCATCGTCTCTACACTATTCATAAGAGTTTACTCATACTTTATAAAAAAATATTTTTAGGACATAATCGTCTCAACACTATTTATAAGATTTTACTCATACTTGTCTCAACACTATTTATAATAAACTATTTTTAGGGCATAATCGTCTCAACACTATAAATATAAAAGTAGGGATATGTACGCTAATTAATCAGGAATAATATATAACACTATGGAGTTGTATGTATTAAATAAGGTGAACTAAATATAACCTTACTGCTATTTAATTTATGAACTTATTTTTTCTCACATAAGATCTGAAATAAATATAATAATAACGTCCTTCAACTAGGTGAACTAAACATAGCCTTATTGCCGCATAGCTTACCGCAATAGTATTTAGGATTTGTTATGTTAAACTTATTTGAGCAAATAAGTAGTACAAGACTACAAGTATTTGCTTACAAGTACTAAAATTAGCATATCAAATCAAATCATTATAGAGTATTTCTTGCTTGTTTTTGTCTACATAATAATCTCTAAATATGCCTCCGATCCACAGATGAAGTCGGGGAACAAGCAATCGTCACGACGAAAATTGAAGAGCTTAACGACGAAAAGAGGTGTGTAAGGTACAGCCACCTTGGAGGACAAATATTAGAGAAGTACTGCAAAGAGACATTAATGTCAAATATTCAAGCAATTCCAAAGGATGAGGGTTGTACTGTAACTTGGAGCTTTGACTATGAGAAGGTGAACGAGAATGTTCCTGAACCTGATATTTACGCCAACTATCTTCTTGGCGTTGCTAAAGATATTGGTGCTTCTCTTTGCAATGCTTGATCAATGGCATATATATCAACGCATATTTATCTTGACGTAATGAACGCACATCATTTCGGTGTTGTTCATTACGTACTATATATATGTTAAGTCATCCGTTACTCGAACTTAAGATACTAACTCCGTTACATATTATTTGTAACAATTAGACATTTTTCCTCTCTAGTTTATGTCAAATTGTTGCAAATAATATGTAGCGGAGGTAGTATCTATTATTACTACAAAAATGTTGATAATGGTGTTTATTGCTATTGTTGGCTGTATGCTATTTAATATATAAGGTTCATACTGTTATAAATATCGCATGCATGTATGTGTGAGGAGCTTTATTTAAATAAATAAACTCTCCATCTTTTATTGTAAGTGTTTTAAATTGGCTTAACAAATATGGAGTGCGGAGTTCTTCTTATGTTCATGTTCATGGGTTGGTACTTAATGTAGTTGGACTGCCAGCCGTATACAAAAAATGCATTATTTTAAAAAGGACTTCTTGTCAAAAACTATTTAATAAAACCCAGAAACTACATAATAAAAAAAAATGTTGTTATAAACTACCTAGTAAAAGGTAAATACTGTAATAAAAACTATCTAAGAAAAGGTAAAATGTTGTAAAATATTACTTATAACGGATTTCCACCGTTGATCGACCTCAAAACAATCTCGAAACCATTACTTTTATTCCCAAAACTAACACAACTTGCTTGAAATAACCTCCATCACACCTAAATCACCTTTCAACCCCAAAACCGGCCACCACCTCTAACCACTAAAACCACCATCCCGAACCACTAATCTACCTCACCAACTCAGTATATCCTCCAACCACGCACCCCAAAAATAATCATATACCACCTTAATAACCAACCCTCACGGTGGTTTCGGGTACGTTTTAAGGTGGATCAACTTTGTAAAATTAAGTCAACAATAGAAATTCAATCAAAAGTAGTATCTTACAACATTTTTTTTATTAATAGGTTGTTTCTCACAACATTTTATCTTTTTATCATAATCCTATATGATACTCGGTAAAAAACACTCCTGTGTGAGGGGGAGTGTGGGTGGGGAATGCCCTGGCCCCGGGGTCTTGATTGGTTACATATGAAAGAGTTATAAAGTAATAAATATATTCTAGAAGGTATTGTCATTAATGTGTACTTTTATTCACGTTTAAAACATTTGTGAATCTAAATCTTTGTAATTGGATGGGTAATTTAATTTCAAGGTAAGGTTTCATTGACATTTCACAGATAAATGATGAACCTTTACAGTCAATATTGACCATCAAGATTTTATTTTATTTTATTTTTTTACAGGACCATCAAGTTAATTAAAAAGACTATAAAAAAAATTTGTCACACCCCGACCCCAAATCAAAGTGGGGTCTATTGTCCCAAAATGCGCATGACCAAGGGTCAATGACTGTCCTCACAAACTAACACAAGCTTTTTGGCGCATTTTGTCCCCACTCATTAATACCTACGGAAAACTTTTGAGGAAGACACCCATCCTAAGACTACTCCTAGCGAAGTACATTTAACTAAGAAGTATCTTAGCATATGAGCTCTCTAAAAAAATAGATGTATCTTATTAGTATAAGTATTATATTAAGTTCCATTTAAAGCAATAATCGTGAGGAGTAATACATACATCACCTCCCCACCCCCACCCCCAACTTGAGAATGACATCCCTCTTGTTGCGCCTAGAATCTTAGGGACCTAAGTATTACGCCTAATGGTCTCTAGGTAGCCAATTTTCGCTAGGCGTTTGTCATAGGATTATCCAACGCGCGCTCACAGGGCTACCCGATACCATTTAATTTGTAACATCTCGCTCCAAATTAGGGTGGGACCTATTGTCACAAAATGCGCATCAATGACAAACAACTGCCCTCACAAACCAACACAAGTTCTTTCGGAGCATTTTGTCCTCACTCACGTACGCTACCATCAAAATACGTCTTAGGAGGTCATCCATCCTAAGATTACTCCTAGCCAAGCACGCTTAACTAAGAATTATCTTAGCATATGAGCTCCCTAAAAGAAAGATGCATCTTGTTGGTTTGCGTAGTATATTTAGTTTCTTTTAAAGCAATATAATCATAAGGGGTATATATTACATACTTGCTCTTTCATGGTTTTCGTCTTTTTTACTATATAATAAATAAATCACCAACTCACAATGTTATACTCCCTCCGTTTTTAATACTTGTTCCACTTTCCTTTTCCGGCCGTTTTTAAATACTTGCTCCATTTCCTTTTTTGGAAACCTTTTACAATATTTAAATCATTGATCACACTTGGTGGACCCAACATAATACTCTCTCTCCTCCTATTCTTCCACTACTTTTGTTTTTTACAATTTTTTATTTTCCCAACTACCCCACTACCTCTATATTTTATTACTTTTTTCAATTTCTCCTAAAACTCCGCGCATGGAGAAATGGAGCAAGTATTTAAAAACAGAGGGAGTTTTAATATTACTCTCCTAAAATTTCACGCATCAGATCATCAAGTGATGCATTTAAAAAAACGGAGGTAGTATATCATTTGCTGAAGGGAGCAATATTCTCTTGGCATATATTATAGCATAACTAAGACTTGAATTTAGGGTTTAGCTCATCTCATGATGTAGACCTTAACCTCCAAATCATTTGTTTCTGAAAAAAATAAAAATAAAAAGCAAAGTTTTCAAATAATAATTCATCATACACTATTGATGCCTTTCTACTAGGGCAAACAAATATCAGATGCAGGGAGTCATATTGATGATATTATAGCCCCATCACGAGCACTTGGAGTCTTGGATGTACTGCATGATTTAGCGCAGCTCTTTACATAATAAAGTTATTCCCTTTTACAATAATGTAGATTTTTGCCCAAGTCTTTTTTTTTTATTTCTAACTATATTTTTAAATAACATGTATCAAATAATTTAAAGTTTTTATTATTCCAACACCTACAACATGATCAAGTTGGTCTATGGTCTTGCTTAATTATTAGGAAATTTTGACAATTACCATCTTCTGTTATGTCCATTTTAGCAATTACCACCTTCTATTTTTCTTTTTGAAAATTACCACCTTCTATTTTCAAAAACATCAAAAGTTACCACCTTCTTGCCTCTCAACTATCACGTGACATCATTTTGGGCTCATTCTTTCCTTTTCCTCCCTATTTCTCTCCCATTTCTCTTCCATAACTCGATTCTTACCTTCTCATTCACTTATTTTCCCCCAAAAATTCAGAAACTTTTCAATTCACTCCTCCAAATCAAAATTGACGGAAAATTATTGGTGGTTTGGGGGAAAAATAGTGAAAGGGGAGATGAGAATCCAAATAGGAATGAGAAATGTGAGGGAAATAGGGAGGGAAGGGAAAGAAATGTCCCAAAATGACGTCACGTGCTAGTTGGGGGGCAAGAAGGTGGTAACTTTTGATGTTTTTGAAGATAGAAGGTGGTAATTTTCGAAAAAAAAAAGAAGGTGGTAATTACTAAAATGGACATAACAGAAGGTAGTAATTGTCAAAATTTCCTAATTATTATATCCGTGCATTAACGAACGTATATAGCCAATGTAGGGTCTAAGAGCAGACATCTATCTTCTTGATAATGCAGAATTTTTCTTTCCAAGAAATAATGGAGAATGAATTTACAATTTGATCAAAAGGAGTGGTTCAAAGTAATGGAATATTGACCGACCTCTTAGCTTTTTTGTACTCCCTCCCTCCCTAAATCACATTCCTCTTTCTAGCATTTAGTCCTCACATAATAATAGAGAGAAAGAGAAATGTAATTTAGGGACGGAGGGAATATTATATAAGGCACCCTTGCTCTTCCTTACCATTCATCGATCGATCAATAACGTACTCGACCTTGAGATATTAGAAATTTGTTCACTAAGAGTCTAGTAGTAGTGTTCTAAGGGAAGAAATGGCTCAGATTCGAAGTGTTGAAGGCCAAGTTGAGCTCAAGTGTCATCCAGACAAATTCTTTGATGTTTGGGCTAGCAATGCTCACCTTATTTCCAAAAGAAGCCCTAACAAAATTGCCAAAGTTGAGCTGGTTGATGGGGAGTGGAATAAGGTTGGTGTTGTCATTAACTGACATGAAAAAAAGTGAAAGGGGGGGATGAGAATGGAGTTAGGAATGAGAAATGTGAGGGAAATAGGGAGGAAATGGAAAGAATGAGCCCAAAATAACGTCATGTGGTAGTTGAGAGGCAAGAAGGTGATAATTTTTGATGTTTTTGAAAATAGAATGTGGTAATTTTCAAAAAAAAATAGAATTTGGTAATTGCTAAAATGGACATAACAGAAGGTGGTAATTGTCAAAATTTTCTAATTGTTAGCATTATACTTCGTACATAGCATGAGTAAAACTTGTATTTAGGATCTAGCTCTTTTAATTTCAAAATGTAGACCTTTACCTCCAAATCATTTGTTTCTAAAAAATCAAAAACAAAAACAAAAATCTAAAATAAATAAAATTGCATACATCAAATCAAAGAATTCCAATGTTCTATTCCAAGTTTCCAACCCCAAGAATATGATCCAGTTGCTCTTTGGTCCTGCTTAGATATTATATATGTGCATAAGTGTTGAGCCCATGAGAAAATCCACACGTAAGTGGTGTGTTGTCCCACATTGAAGAGTGTCGAAAGTGTTGGGAACTTAGGAAGTGTATCCCATATTGAAGAAATAAGAAAGTTGTGTCCACTGTATAAGGCTAATTAAGGGGTTACTCCCCCTCATTGTCATATGGTTTTGAGGTGGAACCTCCTAAGTCGTGTAAAGTGGACAGTTATGACGGGTGTGGCCTAGACCCATTTATCGATAAGTGTATATTATATGGTTTAAACGCAAGCACGACTATTGATGCCCTTCTCAATAATGGAGAATATATGAATCTTCAATAACTTTAAAGGAGTGGTTCAATTCAAAGTGATGGAATATTAACCTTGATATTCTTATTAAAAAGGGAAATTCATTCTACTTATATAAGGCACCCTTGCTCTTGCATAACCTCCGACGACACTTAAAATTTCTGAATAATATTAATTATTAGTGGGGTTCAAGAGAGGAAGAAATGGCTCAACTTCAAAGGATTGAAAGCCAAATTGAACTCAAATGTCACGCCGACAAGTTCTTTGAAGTTTGGGCTAGCAAAGCACACCTTATTTCAAAAATAACCCCTAACAAAGTTGCCAAAGTTGAGCTTGTTGAGGGGGAGTGGGATAAGGTTGGTGCTGTATGTAATTGGACTTATCTCATAAGTATTAATTAGTACTTTAATCTTAACACATCGTATTTGCTTATTGTCATTGTTTTTAGATAGGGGTGAGCATAACTAGGTGTCTATGTACGTATTCGATCACAGTTTTTGAGAATCAAACTCAAAACCAGTTGGAACCGATTCCTGAAATTCAAAATGACCAAAAAATTTAGAACTAGACAACCTTGGAAAGCTAGAACCGCCTAGTATTAGTTTCAATTTTGGGCACCCAGTCATATACTACCTCCGGTCCAAATAACTCGCAACTTTGGAATATTTTATATCTCACAAATAGTACCCCAAAGTTGCGAGTAATTTGGACCGGAGGTAGTAAGTATATTTTTGCAAAAATAAAAAAAAATAAAATAAAAAATCAATTTAAACCTTGATTTTATATATATATTAGGTGTCTATTTAAGATGTTTTTTATTTCACTTATTAAATACATTATATATATATATATATATATATATATGTAGGGAAAGACTCTCGTGAGAATTTTTCTTATGTGAGAACACTCTTTATGTTCTAAATTTTTACTCGCATGTTCTAAATTTTAAATCTGATGTTCTAAACTTTTCCTTAGGTATTCTAAATTAAATCAAATGTTCTAATTTAGTACTTACATGTTCTAAACCATAAATTAGTTAAGTTCGATGTCATAAATTTTAAATAACTTGTTCCAAAATTTTAACTTGTATGTTCTAAATTTTAAAACGTGTGTTTTAAGATTTTTAATTATATGTTCCAGATTTTAAATTGTATGTTCTATTTTTTTACTCGTATGTTCTAAATTATTTACTCACACTTTCTATATTCTATACCAATTTGTTCTAAATTTTTATTCACATGTTCATAATCTTAAGTCATATGTCTAAATTTTACTCATATGTTTAAAATTTCATAAAGCAAATTTTATAAATTTTTAATCTCTTGTTCTAATTCTTAAATCAGATGTTCTAAACATATTACTCACACAAATGTTCTAAATTATTACTCATATGTTCAAAATTTTAATTTGAGTCACATGTTCTAAATTTTAACTCGCATGTTCTAAATTTTTATTCACATGTTCTAAATTTTAAATCAGTTCTCATATAAGTATGAATTCTCACATATGACCTATTCTCACCGGATCCCTCCCCTATATATATATATATATATATATATATATATATATATATATATATATATATATATATATATATATATATATATATATATATTTATGAATTTTGATGGTATATACATATTGATTGAAAAATCTTAACAATTTTAATACTTTATATGAATTTGCCATTTTAGATAATAACGGTGAGGCCACTTAATTTCGGCAAAGACAAGAGTGGAGGTGCTGGATTAAGAGAACAAATCGTTGAGGTACAGAGTTGTTGATGGACATATCCTGCAAAGCTACTACAAGAGCTTCACGACCAGCGTACAAGTAACACCAAAGGACGAGGCCGAAGGCAAGGGCTGTATTATGAAGTTTAGCTTTGAATATGAGAAGCTGAATGAAGGTGTTCCTGAACCAAATATGCATATCGATTTAACATTCGATATTGCAAAAGAAATCGATGCTCATCTTTGCAGCGCTTGATGATATATAAGCCATTATGCATGCATGCTTCCGTGCTTTTGCATGGTCTAGCTGCCTTACTAGAAATAAATGGGCAAGCCATGCTATATTTGGCTAAGTTAAGTGAAAATTCTATGTACTATTGCTTCTATATTATTGTTGTTGTATTTCATTGGAATGTAACGTTACGTTGATTTTAATTCTAAGGTTATTTCATCAATCAAAAAAGCTACTTTTAGTTACATTTTTTTTTCTCTTACTTCATTTAATAATAATTAACACAATTGAATTTGAGACACATGCTAATGCATGAGTTTGATCATCTTTAAATATGATTTACCTTAATAATAAAATTATTAAAAAAAAACTCAATATAATCAAACTTCACATTAATATGTGATTAAGAACATTTTACATGTACTGACAGATTTTCATATATTACTCAAAAGATACAGCTAATGTTAGTATATGAATAGTAAAAAAATGGTCAAATAGACTAAAAATGGGAGTATTAATTATTCCACCCAACAATAAAAGAAATTAAAGGACTTTTTGTGAGAAACTACCAAATAAAATCTAAATTTTTTGAAAAACTAGTTAATAAAAAAATATTGTAAAAAAACTACCTAATAAAAGGTAAAATGTTGTAAGATACTAACTTTGATCAAATTTCAGTCGTTGACTTAATTTGACGATGTTTATCCACCTTAAAACACCCCCAAAACCACCGTGATAGTTGGTTTTCAAGGTGGTAAAGTTATTTTCGGGGTGGTTGGAGGATATTTCGAGTTGGTGAGGGTAGATTATAATTAGTGCTTCGGGATGATGGTTTTGGGATTGACAGGTTGAGGCAATTTTAAACAAGTTGTGTTAGTTTTGGGAATGCGCGCAGTAGTTTCGAGAGTGTTTTGAGATCGATCAATGGTGGAAATCCAATATAGGTAGTATTTTACAACGTTTTATCTTTTCTTAGGTAGTTTTTTTTTTACAACATTTATTTTCACCTTTATTAAGTAATTTATTAGTCCCTTAAAATAAATGAAGTTTATTATAATTTTTTTTATTCGGTACTTTCTCACAGTTTTAAACAAAAAGTCCTAAAAGAAAACCCAACTCTACTAAGGCAAAAAAAGTATTGAGATGAAGGGAGCTAGTCAGGGGCGGATCTATTAACGTGCACAGTGAGTCACGTAACTCACCAGCAAAAAAAAAAAAAAAAAAAAAAAGAAAAAAAAGAAAAGGCGGTCTCTTTGTTTCTCCTTATTTGAGATTAGCTCACTGTCAGTTTTTTAACATCAAAGAGACCGCCTATTAAAATATCACATAGGTGGTCTCTTTGTTTCTGCTATTGACACCACATCATTAGAGACCTGTTATCTAGATAACAAGTCTCTTTTTGTCAGTCATAATAACTTTTTGCGCTGCTTTCATATTTCATTAAAGAGACCTGTTATATTTAATAACCGGTCTCTTAAGTTATTAAACTTTTTTAAAAAAAAATAATTCTTGTTTTTAAGTAAAAATCATAAAGTTAGTTTAATGTAATAGCTTTGTAGTATGTATTTTTATATCCTATTTTTGGATTGAAATCATTTTGGTGAAATATAATATTTTTATATAATTTTTGGATTGAAACAAGTGATCAATTATTGATGGTGACTCATAAGTTCGAAAATCCTGGATCCGCCACTGGAGCTAGTAATATATTGGTCATGTTTGGTAATTGGCTTTTTAATGGATTTTTGGTTAGCTTTTGGCTTTTTTAGGTGGTCAAACAGCCAAAAAATGTGTTTGGTAAATTGGCTTTTTAATCAACAAAAAAGCTGGCTTTTAAGCCAAAATGAAAAAACTGCTTTGAGTAGCTTTTTTTGTTGGCTTTTGGCTTGTTGGCCCACAAATTATCTAATAAACAGCCAACAACCACCAATTAATTTACCAAACACTTTTTATAAACAGCCAATTTTAAAAGCCATTATAAACAGCGAAACATTCCAGCTGGTCAAACAAGCCAAGTGAACCAGCCAACAGCCAACCGCCAACAACCATTTGCCAAACAAGGCCATTGACAACATTACAGCCGGAGTTAGACATGAATTTAGAGTTTAGTCCTCCTTACAAAGTAGTTGTTCCTTAACTACATACAATAATGTAAATCGTTGCCTCCAAACTTTTGTTTCTGATGAATTAAAAAAAAAATATTACATACATTAAATAATGGAAAATTTGATGATTACCTACTATTCTTTCAATTTTAGCAATTACCACCTGCTATTAATTTTTTTAAAAATTACCACCTACTCTTTTATAAAACATCAAAAATTCCCACCTATTTGCCTCCCAACTATCTTATGACATCATGTGGGCCCCCACTTTTTACCTTCTCTCTTCTTTTCCCTCCCTTTTCTCATTACTCACTCGATTTTCATCTCTCCTAACTCATTTTTTAAGCGAAAAAATAAATTGAGGCCCAACTAGGTGGTTAATTTTTTTAGTGAAAAATAAATTGAGCGAATAAATTGGGGCCCAATAATTCAAAGTTTTTATTATTCCAACACCTACAACATGATCAAGTTGGGTCTTTGGTCCTGCTTATACATTTTATCCGTGCATCAACGTATATAGCCATAGCCAATGTAGGGTCTAAGAGCAGATTTCTATCTTCTTGATAATGCAGCTAGAATTTTTCTTTCGAAGAAATAATGGAGAATGAATTTACAATTTGATCAAAAGGAGTGGTTCAACCGTTCAAAGCAATGGAATATTGACCGACCCCTTAGCTTTTTTCTATTATATAAGGCACCCTTGCTCTCACTTACCTTCCATCAACGATCAACTCGACCCTTGAGATATTAGAAACTTGTTCACTAAGAGTCTAGTAGTAGTGTTCTAGGGGTAGAAATGGCTCAGATCAAGTTGAGCTCAAGTGTCATCCAGACAAATTCTTTGATGTTTGGGCTAGCAATGCTCACCTTATTTCCAAAATAAGCCCTAACAAAATTGCCAAAGTTGAGCTGGTTGATGGGGAGTGGAATAAGGTTGGTTGGTGCTGTCATTAACTGGACATATCTCATCAGTAAGTAACACGTACATTCACCTTACTTTTACTTATTAGTGTATATATGTTCTAAAACCATAACGTCACTACAACAAAATAAAGCAAAGGTAACAGTGAAAAACCATTGCCTAATATAAAAAAAGTGTTGCCTTATAGCAAAGGCAACAAATATGAGGCGTAGTATATGCCCCCGTTGTCTATTCATAAGACAACACATTTTTATTCAAAGGCAACAATTTTGAAAACCAAGGTAAAATGATACATAAGGCAACACTTTTTACAAAGACAACAAATGAAAAATGTTGTCATCTAAGGAGACAATTCAAAAATGTTTCTAAATGTTGCTATTCCCAAGCATTTAGTAGGTTATGGCGAGTGAAAGTGATGCAACACAATACATCTTTTTATCTTTGAGAATCCAACACTATTTAAAGCACCCGCACGTTTAACCTTCACCACAATACAATGATGACCTCGAGATCGACTTCATAACCTTGCTCAATTATCAGTAGTTTTGTTTTGAGAGAGGAAAAACGGCTCAGCTTTAAAGAATTGAAGGCCAAGTTGATCTCAAATGTGATGTAGATAAGATCTTTGAAGTTTGGGCTTGCGAACCACACCTTATTTCCAAATTATGCCCTAACAAAGTTACCAAATTTGAGCTAATAATTAATGGGGAGTGGAATTATGCTTTACAATCTATATCATTAACTTCTGATATTGTAAAAAAAAAAAAATAATAATAATAATAATAATAATAATAAAAAAAAAAAAAAAAAAAAAAAACTGATGTTAAGGATTATGCTATAATACATTGAAGTACAAATTAGAATAAAGATGTTAGGTCTCACATACACTTTTTTTTTGTTAGTACGTCACTATGGGTCTGTTCTCATCAGATTATTTTCAGTTCAGTTCAACTCTAATAAGTTCAGTTCCGTTCAGCTCCTAATTTCCTTCTCTCATAAAATATTCTGTTCAGTTCAACTCTAATAAGTGTAGTTCAGTTCAGCTCATTTCATTCAATGAGAACAGGCCTGATGTGTATGCTATTATAACAATATCCACTGTATAAGCTAAATTACACTGTAAAAAATGACTATAGAAGTTGACAAAAGCCAAAGTCAATTATGAATATTGGTATAATTAAATCACTCTATTATTGCATAATTGCATAGATCCAGTATATAAGATTATTATAAATTTGTAGTAGGCCAATTTTTTTTATAAATTATAAGACAACGTACAAACACACGGGATATATATTACATAAAAATACTGTTACAATATTCATCAATGATTTTTGATATATACGATTTGACACAACACGATCCTATTGATGAAATTATGCTATGTAAAGCAAGACATTTATTTATAGAATGAGCATAACTGCATGCATGACATGTAACAGAAGTGATATATATATATATATAGCGGCGGACCTGCCTTTGTGCCTGGTAGATCAAATGACTCACCAGGGCCCAAAAAAATTATTAAGTTTCTTAAAAAAAAAATTAAATAAATAAATTAGTTTGTTAATTATTGTGATTATTATTTTAGGTCAATTTTAAGCTTGTTAATTATAAGTTAGTATTGTAATCTTGTCAATTTTCTATTTGGATGATCTTTGTAAATAATTTTTCTTAGGAATTTTGGTAAAAAAAAAATTTTACATATTTGGTTATCGATTGTGACTCACCAGTCGGAAATTCCTGGGTCCGCCACTGTATATATATATATATATATATATATATATATATATATATATATATATATAGGAATAGGATCATGTAAAAACAAGTGTTAAAATAAAAACTGAAAACTTTTAATCTGAGCCGTTCATCAAATTGTATAGCTGAGATTTCTTTCCTCTTATTTTTCAGACATTACTGAATTTCTTTCCTCTTGTTTCAGACATTAGTGAATTTCTCTCTCCTCCTTAATTTTCACGTTATTTTCTCTCTCCTCTTTATTCTCTCCTCTTTCGTACTTTATCTCTCTTCAACCAGCTTCCCTGTTACTCTCTCTACTGTGTTAAGAGCAAATTTTGGCGAAAAAACTCTAGATATCACAATTCAGGTATGATTATATTCGACAATTTGTTTGTTTTTTCACGAATTTTCAGCGATTTTTGTGATTTGATATTTGCGTTTTTTCTATTCGATTTTCATGAATTTTGCATGAGTTCGATTTTTCTGATTTGATTTTAAGAGTTTCGCATGGAGTTTGATTTTTTTGAGTTCGATTTTTGCAATTTGCTTATTTTTGCGGATCTATAGTTCGATTTTAGATTTCGAATTTCAGAGATTTAGTGTTCGAATTTAGGGTTTGATTTTAGCTAATTTTTTCAGATTTTGATTTCAAATTAATGGCGGTTTGGGATGCGAATAGCTAAAATGCGATTTATGTGTGTGTGTTTGTGTATGTATAGCCCTATGTGATCTCTATTCATGCTGCGTGCTGGTTTGTTTGGGTTTGACAGGGGTTAGATGTGTTGTTGTGCTACTTTGTGCTGCTTGTTGTATTTGCCTAGGAGCTGACTTGCTTCTGTTTGCTGCTCCTGAGTTCGATTTTTTTGATTTGATTTTAAGAATTTTGCATGGAGTTTGATTTTTTTTTTTTAGTTCGATTATTGCAAATGTAGGGTTCGATTTTTGCTTATTTTTGCGGATATATAGTTCAATTTTAGATTTCGAATTTCAGAGATTTAGTGTTCGAATTTAGGGTCTGATTTTAGCTAATTTTTGCGGATTTTGATTTCAAATTAATGGTTGTTTGGGGTGCGAATAGCTAAAATGCGATTTGTGTGTGTGTGTGTCTGTGTATGTATAGCCCTATGTGATCTCTGTTTTCTTCTGCATGCTGGTTTGTTTGGGTTTGACACGGGTTTGTTGTGTTATATTGTGCTACTTTGTGCTGCTTGCTGTGTTTGCCTAGGAGCTGACTTGCTTCTGTTTGCTGCTCTCTGCTGCAAGGCTGTTTGTGTTGTTCTGTGAAGCTTTGTTTCTTCTGCCTCCTGCTGGCTACTTGTTTTTCAGCTTGCTATTGTTGTGGGTTGCTGTTATGCTTGGCTGTTCTCTGGTCCTGCATTGATGTTCCTTGATGTTGTTGTGTTCCTCTCTTACAACCTGTCTTTGCTTATTTGTGTTGCTTTGTTTGTTGTTGTGGTGTTTTGTTGTCTTGTTGTTTGCCTTTGTTTGTTTTGGCTTTGGTTGTTTCCTAGCTTGTACGTTGCTAGCTTAGTTGTACCAGATGGTGATTATGTTTCATGTGTCCGGTTTTGGAGGGGTGTTGGACTATGTTTTTTTTTGAAGTTTTGTTTAAAAAAAAGGTCACTATGCTATAAAAAGAGGCAACTACTTTGGTTTCTTTTGTTTATCTTTTCGTATGTCTTGTTACAGGGTGCAACAAGGATTTTCATTCGATTTGGATTAGATTATATTCCTATGGTGAGAACTAGAGGTGGTGTGACTTTTAAAAAAAGAAGAGGCCTTCGTAGCTTAACAGGAGGAGTTAAATTGAAAGATACAGGAGGTATGATGAATGTTTGATTTTTGGATTATTAACCTTAATATTCAATTTTTTGAATTATATGATGTTAATTTTTGAGCAATACTAACTAGTAACACCTGTTAATATACTAGTTGCTTCTATTATGATAGTCTCCTAATACTATAGGATGTAGGTCCCTATATTAATATAAAAGTTACTATATTATTAGTTCCCTATGTAACTGAAAAAGGTCAAATCATGACAATGATTATTATTTTTTAGTTATTAGTTGTTTGCTAGATGAAAATGAAGATAATTGTATATATAATTATATGCTTGTGTGTTTTTGGTATGCTTATTCTTATTTAGCTGATTTGCTTAGCATGTATCCATCTCGATGATGAAGATGAAGAGCATATTGATGGTTGAAGCAAAATGATTGATGATGATACTAACAGAGATAAAGATGCTTGTATTGAAAAAGGATTGAAAAAGAAAGCTATCACTAAGAAAAAGAAACCTTCTACTATTGATAATGCTATACCTTTGTCAACTGTGATGGAAGGAAAGAAGGGGAATGAGTCTTCTTCTTCACATGCTATTGTTTTGTCAGCTAAGAAGAGAAAGTTGGATAAAAATGAAGGTCTTAAAGTGAAGAAAGTGAAGGCAAATAAGGATAAGAACATTGTGATTCATAGGCAAGAATCTGCAATCATAGATGGTGATGTACATAATTACCCGAAGTTAATATATAGTTGCCTATTTTCGATATAATGACCTTAGAATTATGGAAATGTTGTAAATTTTGTTTCAGTCACCTTATTTTTATATATAGTGACCTTTATTTTTGTATATAGTGACATTTATGTAAATGGTGTCAAAAACTCAGTCGATATAGTTACTTTATTTTTGTATATAGTGACCTTAATGTAAATGTTGTAAAAATTGTTATAGTTACCCTATTTTTGTATATAGTGACCTCTATGTAAATTTGGTCAAAATTGAAATAGTTACCCTATTTTTGTATATAGTGACCTTAATGTAAATATTGTAAAAATTGATATAGCTACCCTATTTTTGTATATAGTTACGTTATTTTTATATATAGTGACTCTATGTAAATATCGTCAATTTAGATAAAGTTACCTTATTTTAGCATGTAGTGACTTTTAAAATGTTGCCTTTGTAAAAAAAAAAAAAAAAAAAAAAAAAAAAAAAAAAAAAAAAACCTTTAAAACGGTTGAATTGATTATATGTAAGGTTGGAATGATCTTAGGACTTTAGAACCGTCTGATCTTTTGTGCTACTAATGAATGGCTAAGATTGCTTGTTTTTAGTTTTTACCATAAGCTCTGTTTTTAGCGGAACCTCCCCGTATATATATATATATATATATATATATATATATATATATATATATATATATATATATATATATATGATCAAATCCTACATAGATGAGCATCCATATCATTTGCCATGGAAAGCATGAACTCAAGGTAAATATTAGCATTAGGTGCATCATCATTCATCTTCTCATATTCGAAGCACCACTTGACAGTGCAACCCTTATTACCACTCTTCGGAGTTGCTTGCATTGTGGCGGTGAAGCTCTTGTAGTAGCTCACCATGATGAACCCATCATGATAACTATATTTCACGGTCATATTCTTTTCGTCTATCTCATCAATTCTTGCCTTTAGGGTTGCTCGTTCACCAGTTTCATCTGCAATAATAATAAAAATTAAAAATTAAAACATATACCTAATTAAGTATATTCAATTACATAGTATTTGACAACGAATATAAATTAATGAATTAATTATCTAATGTGGAAAATAAATAAAAAGTTATAAAATTATATATTTTGACAATAAATACTAAAACGAACAATTCTAACTTGATCAGACAAAATAAAATCTATTTATGTACAAGTATAAAACTAAATAAACCGGGCTAAAAAAGTTAAACCTTGACATTTAAAAGTAGAAAATAAATATCATTATTGGAGGGATTATTATTGAAAGGGGTGACTTTATTTGGCAAAGACACAGGCATACTTACTGATAACATAACTCCCAGTGATGACAGCACCAACCTTATCCCACTCTCCTTCATTTAACACAGATTTCTGAATTTTATCAGGGCTCATATTTGAAATAAGGTACATTTTATGAGCCCAAATATCAAAGAATTTTTCAGCTTCACAATTAAGCTCTATTTGCCCTTCATTTCTGTGAAGCTGAGCCATTTTTCTCTTCAGTAAGTACACTAGAATAAGCTAAGCAAGGCTCTGATGTTTCGAGCTTGTTCGTGTACTTGAAACTGGCCAAGAAGCTAATGGCTTAAATAGCCAAAGTAGTGTTACATTATTATAGACAAAACTAAGTTATTGTACTCTCTATAATTGCTAAGGATTACTATGAACCATTCCTTTAATAACTTTGAGATTCCCCATTATTGTTGCTTTAAAAGTTGAAATTCCAAAGTATGAATTAGGGCATTGAAGATGGTCTACTTTTAAAATAATAATCACAATAATTAATTAATTTAAGCTAATCATCAAGACCAAATCAGCATATCCTAATAAATTTGCATTTGATTAAAATGTAGTGATATATGGAATCAACTTTACTATAATTTGAATAATTGTGGCTAGATCTTGATTAAAGCGGAGACGTGAAATATTTTGATCTTCATTTTTATATTCAAACACAAAATTCCATTTTACAATGCAACACCTCTTGATCACTACCTAATTAAGTACCAACTAATAATTAAGCTAGACACATCAAATAAATATGGTTACATATATTCCTCAATCACTACATATATAATATATATACTGAGTAATTAAATAATTAAGATATGGTCTTGCTAAACAAATTAGACTTAATCTATGAAAGTGGACCATGTAATAAGATGCCCTAATAAGGAATTTTTGCAATTGTTTTAATCAATAATGGGGAATAATCACCAAATTAAAGGAGTGGTTTACAGTAGTTATGCATATTATTGTGCAATAAAACTTGAGTGATTAAGCCACCAACACTTCTATATAAAGCACCCTGTTCCTTTCTTGTTAAACATCCAGTACATACACTTGATCGAGCTCTCGAAACAACATAGCTAGATTTACAGCAATATAATGGCTCAGCTTCACAGGGTAGGAGGGCAAATTGAGCTCAAATGTCAAGCTGAAAAGTTCTTTGATGTTTGGGCTCACAAAATATACTTGGTGCAAAAAAATGTGCCCAAGTAAAGTTCAAAAAACTGTGCTGAATCATGGAGAGTGGCATAAGGCTGGTGCTGTCTTGACCGGAGATTATCTTATCAGTAAGTACACAGTACACATCTAGCTAGTTACTCCATCCATTCGTTTTTCTTGTCTGATTTTAAAATGGGACAAGTAAAATAAGACAGATGATTTTTTTAATAACAAATGAACCTATATATAAGGCGCGTATTCTAAATTAGAGTCTTAATTGATTATTTGTCGTCGTTGCAGATAATATTGGTGAATGTGCATCCATCAAGACAAGGGTAGACCAGATAGATGAACAAAACAAGTCAGTGACACATAGTTATCATGAAGGTTATATCATGGAGAACTATTACAAAACCTTTTACTCGACGATGCAAGCAATTCCAAAGGGTGACAATAAGGGTTGCATTATCAAGTGGAGCTTTGTGTACGAGAAGATGAATAAAGATGCTCCTGAAGCAACCGTGTACATCGATTTTATGCTTGCCATGGCTAAGGATATTGATGCTTATCTTTGCAAGGGTTGATCATTATATCGTCCAACATATATGCATCAATGTGCATCATATCGTATAATTTATGTCAATTATTATGTTTTTTTAATTCACAAATAGTTGTGTTACTTCTTAGCATCAATAAATTGTTAAATTAAGGCCATGGCATATGGCATAGAATTATGTATCGTGTTGAAGATGGGATTAAGTAGATGTCGATGTTAATTGTTGGAACCTCTTTTGATTTGTTTTATGATTCAAGATTTATGAATCGTATGTTCATTATGACTTTGATCAATTTTTTTAGTTATTAATTTTTATAAGTTTTTAAAGATCAAAGCTTAATTAGGTACACGACGTAAAAGAATTAAGCGAGCGTGTCAAGATATGTGGTGACATACTGACATTGACAAGTATTTTATATACTTCCTCCGTTTTTTAATAGTTGCAACAGTTTGACTTTTACACTATTTATGAATTTCGCTTTAACTAGCTCTTAAAGCAATCGCAATTCATTACTTACTCTTATTGATCCATTACAAGTATTGATATCTATAAGGATAATAACCCACATTGTTTAGGCACCCTTAATTTGAAATTGAAAAATAAGATTATATTGATGCATTACTTCATCAACATATCACCAATCAATCAATTTTCGTATGAAATCTCCTAAAAAAATAATGTTCAATTCAGTTCAATTCAACTTAGTTTAGCAAATTATAACATACCTATAGTGCATTAATATCAAATGTTGTAATTTGGACCACTTACTAAAAAAACAACTTACTAAATTTAAAACTACAATTCGTTTGTCATCTATTCTATCTATTAGTACTTGAAGAGTACACGTCCAAATCTAGATAAACTCGAGTACGAACAAAGTAATTTGTTGTCTAATTTCAATTAACGACAAAAATAAGAAAAAGATAAGGCTTTCATCTGTAATTCTTACCTCGAAAAAGTGCCAAATTCCACGTGTCACTTTTTCATCAAATGTGGGGCCCATGCTTAGATCTTCTCTTAGACCTTGCACGTAACAATTTTCTCTTCTTCCTCCATTTTACACTCCAAATAAACCCATCTCAAAAAAAATCAGGGAAAAATAAAAAAATTAAAAAGAGAAAATTTTGATTGAATTTGTAAAAATGGAGCATGAATTAGGTGTATCAGATGCAGCAAATCGAAGATTGAGCACTCTAGCAAGACATTTGGAGGTGAAAACAATTGAATCATCTGAAAATGGAGGATTATATGCATCAATTACATCTGGGTTTGATGGGAATTCTAATTCTGTGTTTTCCCATGTTGTTAAAGCTCCTGAAGATCCAATTCTTGGGGTAAATTTCTATCTTTTGACCTTTTTCTTTGATGGGTCAATATTAAATTGTTGTAGAATCATGTATTTTCTGAAGAATTGATGAATTTGTTTGTGTATGATTAATGGGTTTGTTTTAGTTATTTTGATTAGGCTTGTTTATTGTTGGTTGATGAGGTTTATGTTTCATATGTTCTGCTTTTGATTGGAGATGATGTTATATTTTATCTGTGTGTCGTGTGGATTATTCTTTCAATCTGTCCTGGTATAGTTGTCGCGTTACTAGTTCAAATTACAACGTCAACGTGACTATTAATTCCGAACAAAGGGGTGACTGGAACCAGATATTGAATGCTGGCTTAATGGCTTATGAATAGTTGTTTGAATTGAGAAGTTATGTGTGCATTTTATAGGCCCCTTGTTGTTGAAAGGATGTAGTGGATAACACATAGAATAAGTAGTTAGCATATTGCATTTCCAAATTTGGCTGGCTACTGTGATTTTTACAGATATTGTAACACTAATTTTTTAAAGTCGCCATGTATAGATAGTGTGTATATATGCTCCATTGTTAGGTCGGTTCGCTATGTGTTAGACAGATTAAGGTTGTCTCAGGTTTAGACCATGAAATGTTGTCTCAGGTTTAGACCATGAAATTTTTTTTGTTTGATTCGTGCAACTCACTTGTTTTGGGCTTAACTATCCATTTTAACAGGTAACTGTTGCATATAACAAGGATCCAAGTCCTGTTAAATTGAATCTAGGTGTTGGTGCTTATCGAATTGAGGTAAGCTTTTCTTTCTTATTCTATCGACCTTCTGTTTTAGAGATGCCTTATTCAAGATATTGTAGTTATAGAAGTGAGTGTAACAAATACGTAGTACTAATGTTCTTCCACGGCGAAGCTAGTTATACATATACAAGTAGTTAATTCTGATGGGTTTTGAGGTTTTAAAAACTAGTTTCCTGTTGCAATGGATTATCATACCTGTGCCTTATTTCAGGAAGGTAAACCTCTGGTTTTAAATGTAGTGAGACGAGCTGAGCAGCAACTCATTAATGACAGGCAAGTCTATTAATTAGTGCAAGTATAAGTTGGATCTATAATTGGGAAAGAAAAATGAGCAATATATGTGTTTGATTTTGAATAGGTCTCGAGTTAAAGAATACCTCCCAATCACCGGGCTTGCAGAATTCAATAAACTGAGTGCTAAATTGATGTTTGGTGAAGACAGGTAATTATCTTGATTTTGTTAGCATTTGATGGGGAATATGATTGCCAAACACGATTGAATGATAATGCATATACTATAATTCGTAAATGCTGTTATGCCTGTGAAACTAGTGAATCCCTTGAACTGATAAATTTTGTTGAGCCCATAATAATGAGTCACTTATAAGTAATTGTTTTCTTTTCTTGGCCACAGCCCTGCTATTAGAGAGAATAGAGTTACTACTGTCCAGTGTTTATCTGGTACAGGCTCGTTGAGGGTGGGAGGTGAATTTTTGGCGAAACATTATCATGAGGTAACCTCCCCTTTTAAAAAGTATACACTATTTTTTGTTATAATATTTTGTTGATTATTTGTGTTTAAACTTTGCATTGTTTTGCAGAGGACAATATATATTCCCCAGCCAACATGGGGTAATCATCCGAAGATATTTACACTGGCTGGCTTATCTGTCAAGACTTACCGTTATTATGATCCAGCTACACGTGGACTACATTTTCATGGTAGGAAATCATCTATTCAAGTATATGTGCATCTTGCGTTTTGCCCCAACCAAATTTGTGCAGTTGCATAACTGGCATATAACTGTCCATGAACACCAGGCCTCTTAGAAGACCTTGGTTCAGCTCCCTCAGGAGCTATTGTGCTGCTTCATGCATGTGCGCACAATCCAACTGGCGTTGACCCAACAATTCAACAATGGCAAAAGATCAGGCAATTGATGAGATCAAAAGGGTTGTTACCTTTTTTTGACAGTGCTTACCAGGTACATCAGCTAGGGTGTGCTTGTTTATTAATAATGTATTGCTATGATCAGAATAGTTAAGTATTGTAAGGCTGGTGACAATTTAGATATTTCTTCTTTGCTTATTCTAAAGATTATTTTCAGGGATTTGCAAGTGGAAGCTTAGACACAGATGCAAAACCTGTTAGAATGTTCGTGGCTGATGGTGGTGAATGCCTTTTAGCTCAGAGTTATGCTAAGAACATGGGCCTCTATGGAGAGCGTGTTGGTGCTTTAAGCATTGTAAGAGCGCATCATTTATTTTTATTTTTTCCTTCTTGCAAGTTTGTGGTCGTCAATTTCTACTTTCTCTTGCTTATCAGACCTTTGTTTCTCTTGGTTGAATGCACTTTTTTTTTACCTTTTTGAATCAATTTGATAGGTCTGCAAAACAGCTGATGTGGCAAGCAAGGTAGAGAGTCAACTTAAATTGGTAATTAGGCCCATGTTTTCAAATCCTCCCATTCACGGTGCATCCATTGTGGCTACTATTCTCAGAGACAGGTAAAGGTTGATTCATTATTAAGGGATGCTTGTTTTTGCTATCAAACCAATCTTCTATTCATAAATGGAACTTCACTATATTGAAGGAATCTGTTTGGTGAATGGACTGTCGAGTTGAAGGCAATGGCTGATCGTATAATTAGCATGAGGCAGAAACTCTTTGATGCTTTGCGTGCTCGAGGTCAACTTTCTCCCATGAAATTTTTTTATTTGTGTTGCCACTTCTTTTGTACATCCTGTTGGTTCGTATTATACGTGTGTGGAAGTGAAGGTTTTTTCTTCTTGGCTCCCCTTTCTTTTGTAAACAGGTACACCAGGTGACTGGAGTCATATAATCAAGCAGATTGGGATGTTCACTTTCACCGGATTAAATAAGGAGCAAGTCACTATCATGACTAAAGAGTACCACATTTATATGACATCCGATGGGTAAGCAATAAACTAATATAGCTTCTCTACCTGCGTTGCACCACTAGCTAGCATTCCCTTTATAAGTCTAGACTTGTTGCAAGAAAAAACTGTGTTATTGCTAGGCTTATTTCACGGTAAATAATCCTGTATACTTGAGCTTGTGAAACACAACTTATCTGTGAGATGCAGATAGTTCTTCAGTCTCTGTTCTGAAGTTTTCTTTGGTTAATGCCATCTGCACATCTCTGTTCTGAAGTTTTTGTTAAGTATATCTATCTAAAAAAAATGGCCCAATCTATATGACACAATCAAAACTGACCTGAAAAGTAATGTGAGTTGTGGTATACCAACTTGAATGGATTCGGACTGGCTGAATCCTAAGTTAATAACCCATTACCTGCATATGACTGAAACTAAAATTTTGTCCCAACTCAAACTTCATCCTAATGACCTATGTGCAAGCTGTTAAGACAATGTGTTTTTTCTGTAAGTGTGTTTCAAAGTATGCGTTGCGTTAATCTACAATTATAACATGTGTATAGATAATTATAGAACAAGAACATGCACATCTTGACAGTAAATTTTAATTAGTAAATTTTGTTGTCACAAATATACATTGTTACAAGAAATTCAAATAACACCAACCTTCTTATTGGCAGGAGGATTAGCATGGCAGGATTAAGTTCAAAGACTATCCCTCACCTTGCAGATGCCATGCACGCTGCTGTCACACGTTTTTCATAAAACGTCACACTATTTATCGTCTGCTGAGTGTTGCTTCCAGCGCAGTCCTGATAGCTTCGGCAATCAACTAGTTCTTTAACATACCGAAGGACAACTGATGCTGATCGGAAATACACTCTCACCAGGTCAAGCTTCAGATGATATAAATATACAGCTGCTCTCTTTTTTTTTTTTTTTTTTTTTTTTGCTTATTTCTTTCCCCCCCCCCCCCCCCCCCTTTTATCGACCTTGTATAAACATTCAGGTGTAACCGTGTAAGTATTGGTATTTTGACATTTTCCCAATAAGCTTAAACTTTCATGCATATGTGTTTTAAATGGCTAAGCTACTTATTTCCAATAACTGTAAGCTCAATGCTTTTAATTTACTTATCGTCTAATGACACAAGTTAATTTTCCACTAACCTAAACAAACTCGGAAAAACTTGGGCGAACCCTTGCATTGTGGCGTCTGATAACCAGGGAATAATAAAATGTAAGGATAATAATTCAACTATGGAACCCTGTATGTTGAGGGATCCTACTTCAAATAAATGTTTAAGTCAGAAACAGGGAATATTTGTATGAAGAGCTGTTCAGAAGAACCAAAAAATTTATGCAATTAAAAGTATACTGAATCAAATAATTGCATCATTCAAAATAAATATGTATTACAGCAAGAAATAATACATTTTACGAACAACATTATGTACTAGCTCTGCTCTAAACAGCTCTGCTCAAAGTTGATACTATCTGTAACTTTTCAGCAAACAAGACGGGCTTGATAAGCTTGCAGCTGTAACACTTTTCCCCTTCTCCGCTGCCTTTGCTGGTGTCCCACATTCACTGAAATCAAGAACCCGCCGCTCCGACTGGAATATCACAGGCAATTATTTGGTTAGCAAATCTTTTTAGATAGATGGCAAACACTTCGCTAGTTTCTGACTAGTAAAAATGAAGCTAAGCAGGCAACAAGTACATTCTCAAGCACAGTGATTTTTCAAGCAGGCAAGTATGTTTACAAGCATATACAGCTAATGGAAATGAAGGGAATAGCATAGCTTGATTAAGTATACTTTGTTTCTATTCTCTTCAACTTTATCTTCTGTGTAAATGAAAATCATGTATAGCAAAACAATCTATATAACAGGCAATATATGAATAAGATTTTTTGGAAAAGGAACATGCAGACACACCGAGACATTTGATGCCATACGTAAGCGGCTGTCAAGCTGACTGTCAGCGAACTTGTTACTCTGGTCCTCCAGATTCTGACTTTTCAAGCATCTTTGCCTCAAAATGCTTTCGGGAGTTTCACTTCCTAGAACTTCCCGGGCATCTGCATATGCCTCTGCACTCTGCTCATTTATTTGTTTCATCAACCCCAACGCATCATAGCTTCTATCTCCTGGACTCATGAAAATCCCTATATCCTGAGTACAGAAAAAAGCATAAAAAGGTGATTTATTAGCATTATTTACTTGACAGATATTGAACACAAGAACAGGAAAAAAAAAAGATATATATATACACACCATACCTCAATCATTGCTTCTGCTTCAAACCTCGAGCAAGCAACCACAGAACTAAAGTACCATGGTGACTTCCATGCTGAAGGAGATTCTATACTTCGTCTAAAAGGTGTTCCGCCAAATCTAAAATTATTGATAACAAGCATTGGGAGATATTAGTACTACTCCAGAAAACATATACGAAGTATAATAGAAAATCTCAACATACAGAAAGCAGAAGAATCTCACATGTTTAAATTCTCAGCACCAACTTCATTAATAAGGCTGTCAGAATCAATGTTTTGCTTCTTTTGGACAAATAAGGGCGGGCTTACAACAGATTTAGCTTTACTAGTCATTGACTCTGGCATGGCTGCTTGTTGTTTGGAAGTCATTTTCGCGCTGTGAACTTCTACAGTTTTGCCACCTATCTCCGAGCCTGTTTTAGGTCCAGCTCCATCCAGAGAAGTATATTGGGCATCACTAAAGTAGCGTTCAACAAGTACTCCTTTAGGCTGTTGGAACCAATACTAAATCATCAGCCAATAAACTTTTAAACAGTAAAGGAATGGACACAACAAAACCATTCCACATCTAATGACTAAACAATATAGGCTATAGCCCATAGCATGAAAGAGGAAAAAAACAACACGGATACTACACGAGATCCTCACCGTTTCTGCAGTACAATCTTCGTGGACCGATTTCTCCAGAATTTGTTCAAGATTTTCTTCCTTCTCCATATCCTTGAAGTCCTTTTTGTTTTCCTCTATTTTATCTCCTGATTCTGCATTGTTATGACTTGCCTCTTCTAATTCCCCTTCAAGAGCAGGACATATATTTTCTTTATCTTCTATTGGCACATGATTATTCTGATCATTGGATGCTGATTCCTTGGAATCATCAGCCTCGTCGAACATAACATCCAAACGAGAAAACTCATTAGTCAACCTGGATGTGCACAAAAACTCTTGCTTAGAACTACTCCCAGTCTTCTTATCACATCGCCTATCTGAAAAAGGTGATAAAGGTGACAGTAAGTCACGATGTCTTTTCTTCAAGATGGATGGTGTACATGCAAACGTTTTTGCAGCACTTTTTAACACGGCAACTGGACTGCCATCTCTAGATGGTGAGTCCCATATGGGAGTCAGACTGTTCATAGAAGACATAACCATTTGGCGGATGCCAAGAGGACTAAATTCTTGATGGACATCATTACCAGGCTGAGCAAGATCACAACTAAAAAATGGTATGTCCAAACATGGGAATCGAGGGGGTTCGTAACACAGAATTCCAGCTTCCAGTTTGCAAGTAGCATTTACTGGTCGTTCAACTGCACTAGACTCAGTTTTCTGGTCATCTGATGCTTCAGGACTAAATGTATTTACAGGGACTAATCTTGATGGTTCCTTCAATTCCGTTTGCTCTGTCAAGCCTGCATTTATATGATCATAAAATGAAGAACCAGAATTGTTGTATGCAGGAAAAAATCCCTCATCCACATTGGCAATGTTCTGCGCTTCAGATATGGCCAAGCTGTCACTTATTTGATTGAATTCCTCACAAGGATTAGAAGGTTCACAGTTTGAAGGTTCTAATGGACCATTTGGCTGCAAAGCTACATGTCCACTTGTTTCAGGAAGCTGAAAAATGGCTTGGAAACTTAAATAATCTCTAAATCTATCCATATCAATAATTTCTGAGCAGTTGGTAATATTCACAGGACATCCATCTCCCCCTTCCTGCTCCAATAGGAGCTCAGAACAGTCTTCTTCGGTTTTCTGTCTCAGTACTGATGTATCTGAATTCACTGCCACATTACTGACTGAAGCTAGTGCATCATAATCGATAGAATGGTGGTGAGAAGGCCCAGGAACCATGCCGCTCATTGTATCAGCAAAATAATAATTTTCTGATAAATTGGATGAGTCTGCGCCCAACTCCACAGAGGAAACATTGGGCAAGCTAATAGTACCAAAGCTGCTATTCCCAGTTGCACAAACCCCATGTTCTCTTGAAAAATTATCTTCCAAGTATTTAGATGAGCAGCTGAATTCATAAGGTAAATCAGGAATGGTAAAGGTGATGTCCTCTGTATAATATTGCTCGGAACATGACGCAGTTGGACTAGCATTTTGCAACTTTCCATGGTCTGATTCTTCAGACAACAAGAAGTCTTCCTTTGTTTGACAAGCAGTATTAGACAGGTCACTTGCACTTTGAGAGCAACCAACTTGACTACTTTCTGAATTTTGCTCCAGCTCTGCTCCCTCTTTAAATACACTACCTTCTCCACTGCTCTGTTGTACTAGCAGGGAAGTTGTAGGCATGGATTGACTCTGATGGCCAACTAATGGCAGACCTTGGAACTGAGCAAGGAGCCCCGAGGCAATATAAGAGTCTAGTTTTTTCTTCACAGAGCTGTTCCAGTGATTTTTTATAGCATTGTCTGTCCTGATTCACCAAAAGGTTAAGTAATTCAGAACGAAAGGCATAGAGAAACTTCAAGGACAATAGCATCAGCTAACATATATGAAGCCAAGTTGGCAATCTTATCAAGCAGAGTGCATGAGAAAGACTTGTCTGGAAAGATAGGACGGGCAAATAGAGGATTTATATTAAGTTTTCAAGTATCGACAATTTAGAGCAAAAGAATTAACCAGAACAAAGTTCAAACACACCTTCCTGGCAAATATTTTGTTAGCTCTGCCCACCTATTCCCATGAATCTGATGAGCACGAATCAGAATTAGTTCTTCTTCTTGATTCCATGCCTCTTTGTTTATAGAAGGATTGAGATGATTATGCCACCTATTGATTGGAATCAGCAGCAGCAAAAATGTCAGAATTATATAATTTCTCCAGTCCCTTTATTATAATTATTCATTTTATTTTATTCCATTTGTTTTGCAGAATTTTGGGAGTTCAAAATAAATAAATAATAAGCTTTGAAGAAACTGAAGTCTCAACAGTAGTAACTTTTTTGAAAAGATGACAGAATGGACAACTAGAGGAAACAAAAAAAATTGGAAACTTTTACTAGTACAAATGGGACTACAGAAATTCTAATAAGCTTATAGGTATTTTATACCAGCAGGATAAGTTAAAACCTAAAAAATAGTAATTAATTAATAAACAAACAAACAAACAAACAATTTCTTTGTATCCCAGTCAAAAAATTGTGTCACCAAGGAAGAAACTAATTTGATGATTTGGCTGACTAAAGACATGTTTTATAATATATAATCATAAAGGGCTAAAACTGTTGCTGCATAAGCGGTTTAAAATGCTAGCATTAGCATCTAGCTGGAAAGGCATCAAATGTAAGCTTATCAAGATGTAAAATCAGCAACACTAGAATCAAACACTAGTTAAAACTAAGAAATTTAAAAATGAAGCCTTATACAGAAAAGTAGGCACCAAAAAAATAGTAAATTGAAAATTTGAACCACAAAAAGAAAGAATTTGGTTCATACCGTTCTCGGCATTGTTTTCCTATACGTCCTGGAAGATGTTGAGCAATTATGGACCATTTTTTGGGCCCATATTTATTGACTAATTGAACAATAACTTCATCCTCCTGAACAGCATAAAATGATATACATATGTTTAGATTAATACTAAGAATATGACTTGACACTTTATACACAGTTCATATACCTCTTTAGACCAAGGGCCCTTGATAAGCTCAGGGTTGAGGACCTTTTGCCACCTGTGCAGGCACTGAACATCAGTTCTGTCCTTGAAACATTCAGCTGCAAATTACTTAATCGTGATTAATAACTTCAATAATCAATAAACAATTTAAGCAACAATAACATTCATTTATTGAAATCATCAGGAAAAGAGCACACTAGTAATTTATTCAGCAGATTCTAGAGATAAATCAATCTGAAGAAACAACAACGACAGCACCAATGATAGACATATTTGGGACTTCAAAAAGGAATATGGCGTAAACAATGGGGGTGGACGGAGTGAAATATATGCAAATATAGGAAAACATAAAACAAATGAAGTAGCTACAGATAAATACATCAATACGGGGCATATAATACTAGAGATGGTACACACCTATCTTCTTCCAATTTTTCCCTTTAAAGCGCTGAACAGCCTTGCGCAAAATTTCATCCTGTAAGAAGAGAAATGCCCTATCATTAAGAAGACACACATCCAAGAAGAAGAAGACAAGGTAATGCAGGGTCAAAACAAAGACAATTTCAGCTTCACCAAGCAAAAATAAAATATCCACTCATTTGTAACTAAACATTAATTGTTCCAGGTCAGTTTTATAAAAGGCATACTTAGAAAGGCATGTGCAACATGTTTTCAGTGAACCCCTCTGAAGCTCTTGGCTGCTATTTTAGAACTTGATTGAAATGCCTTTTGTTTTCTTCATGCAAAACTTTTTACTGTTCTTTGATACGGGCTCTTCGGCACCATATTCTCTGTCCTTAACTCCAGAAATTGCTATAATTGGCGGTTACATTAGTTTTACACTCGTTAATCATCAGAAGTGCCTCGCTTCCATGAGGGCAACCTCTCACAGTCTCATGTGTGTGCTTCGCATATAGGCTCTAGGGGCCCCTATTGCCTCAGTGCACCCTTGAGCCTTTTCAAACATAGTTCAGGCCTTCAGGGTATGCATAGGATTTGATTAAGAAGTGAACCCGCATTAACTATGTTGGTTATTCAGTTCGAAGTCTATGGAATGATTTTAAATTTTAAACCGCACCACCTTCGAGCTTCAAGAACAATTTTCCTTGGTTGAGATTAGGCTTCCAAAAGGTCAATGGGCTGGTGAAAGGGTAACAAATATAGGTACCACATTCATCGAAAAACCCAATACTCCATAAGTCCATATCACATTCCTCCAACTCCATGTGAAGGGTATGAAGTGTAAACGGCAGATTGTATACAGACTTGCGAGTGTAGCAACATATCATATCCCTTGTATATTGTTGTGTATAGTTTTTTCTACCTATAATTTGCTTGTATAAATCCTTCTAAAGAATCAGTCTATCCACAACAAAGAGAAAGCAACAGGGGGAAGGAATATGCACTTGCATACTTTTGCAAATAATTTGACATGGTGGAGAACAAATAATCGTCTTGTAAAACAAGCTACGGTCACATGATATGCAAGAGTCACAATTCAAGATAGTTAAAAGCAAATTCTAATGTTTATAAGTTTAATACCATTTCCCCAATGAAAGGAGACCCCAAATTGGTTGTATCAACAATTAGAGAGAGAATAACATGCAAAAAGGAAATACCCAAAAGATCATGAAGCATAAAAGAAAAACAATCAAAGTTACCTCTTCAGGAGTCCATTGCCCCCTTGTTGATCGCCTCGTAGGCCCACTGGTCCTCCTAGTACACAAGAGAAGTTATTATAGCTTAGCTTATGCAGTAGAGGATGGAAAAAAAAACAGTAATTAAAAAACTACGTCTCTTAACACAGACCACAAAGTGTATGAATACTAGAGAAAGAATACCCATGCATAGGTCTGACTTGAGAAAAGGCATTTTTGGCCCCATTCAAAGAGCCAGGAGGAGCTGATGGGGGCGGAGGCGGAAGTGATGCAGCTATTTTCCTGTCACTTTCCATTATTAACAAAAAAACAGGCTAAACTGCATACCCCAATTCCAACTCGATGTCGATTCTCTCCACGGAATGTTCCCCAAGGCATTATCAGTCTTCCTAGACAATGGTTGGAGCTTCTTTTAGACAGAACAACCCGAAAGGCTAGAAAACGAATAAGACGAACACAATTAAGGAAAATGTCATCATAGCAGTAGCAAACAGCCTGATAAAAGAACTAAAAGCTTGGTTATTACCAATACATAAATATAATCAGAAACAAAGCAAGTTCTCTCACCATGTTTAGAACCTTAAGTCACTCAGAGGGCCGCAATTTGTTCATGCAGACCCAAATAACTAAACTTCGCACAAAATTGAAATCCAATGCCAACTTATCCAAATTATGCTCCCAGAAAAGCCAAAACCTATAATCGAGTACTTCCTCCGTTCCCTAAAACTTGTCAAATATCAAAAACAACAAACAAAATCAACAAAAACATCATCGGTTAATTATGACAATGCAATTCACTCCACCCAATCATCATATGAAATCACAGCATTAGCATGACCAATTATATTTATATGTACAAAAAAATTGAAAATTAACATAACTTCACAGTCCACACAAAAAATCAAGCTTCAGATATAATTTGAAGGTATCAACAAAACTAACATTAGGGTGTAACTAAGTACTTGTATATCTTAACCTCCCCAAACAATAGCCTCAATGATGAGACTAAATTAGGGTTATCTTCTGCCAAATGAGGATATACCTTCATCACAAAAATCATTTCAAAACCCAGAAAAATCTTCATTCAAGCAAAAACCCCTTAAACAATCAAAAACCCTAATCCGTAAAACCCCAAAACCCCATCAAATCACAAAGATCTCAAAAACCCAATTCAAATTTTCACATCACCAAACATTCAAATACCACAGAAAATCAAACACCCAAAAAAACCCAACTTCACATTCCAGAAAAAACCCACAAAAAATCACAAAAAACGGAAATTTAAAGCAAGACAATAAGAGATAGATTACCAAAGTTAACTTCAGCTTGAAATGGGTGATCGAGAAGATGATAAACCGATCAATGGAAGTAGCATTTGAAGAATAGGAGAGAGAAAGATCTGGGTATGAGTATGTGATTTAGTAGAAACGGGGATAATTTTTTTTGAATGAAAGAAACGTTGTAATTTTGATGAATGATGTTGTTTTTTCAGAGGAGAGAGAAAGGGGGAAATACCAAACGGTCTGAAATTGTAAATGAGCAAAATTCAAATTGGGAGGGGCGGACTATACGTCAAATACTCAATTTTGACAATATTTTTGAAATCTAACCCTATCAATATCAACTATGGTTGGATCTATTCAATGACTTTGCTTTTTTAAGGGGTTTCTTCTCACTTTTGCTTGTTTTATTATTTAAAAGTGCGATTTTGAAAATCCGAGTTATAACGTGTCAGTTGTATTAAAGGTAAGATTTTGAAATTAGAGTAATAACGGATAAATACTTGTAAATGAAAAATGTGTAAAATATACTTGAAATTTGATGTTGGATATTATATCGTCAAGGCCTCAAGGGGTTTGTGACTTTGTTCTATTCAACAAATTCAACTTAAGAAAGATTAGTGTTTTCAAGTTAAAGATAACCCTTTTTTTGGGTAAAATAAGTTAAAATGAATTTAGTACGAGATAAAAAAAAATTAAAAATAATTGAAAAGGTAAGTTTTGATAAATGAAGATTATGTGAAACGAACATAGTCTAAAACTTTTTCAATTAACTTTATCAAAATCCATAAAATCTGAGTAATAAATATTTTTTTAATTATTGTTGTTGGTGAGAGTTATTATTGATTATGGTTGTTTTGATTTTGGTATATTCATTTCTATTTCTTACAATATTACTCCATGTGTGTGCTTTTTTATTTTATTTTTTGGGTGTGTGTACAAATTTTGAGTTAAATTAGAAATATTTATCATTTTGACAATGATTGATGAGCAATTTTGTCATTAAATTTAAATTATTACCAATTTAGCAAATTTATTAAATGTTTATATGGTGTGTTATTTTCAAGGTTATGCTTAATAAATCATATTATTATTATTATTATTTTTTAAGATAATTCATATTAATTGTCATGATTGCTTCAGTTTTTTTCCTCTTAGGGCTAGAGATGTTAGTGGGACAGGTCAGATTGGAACTTGCCTCATCCTAAGGCAACAATAGGACTTGATTTGGTAGGTGGTGTAGGGCTAGGATGTGAAAGAAGCTCATGTCGTACATGAGTGATCGGGATAGATCTTATGTTGTAAGACTTTGTAACTGTCTCAAATCCACCCTGCCTAACTTTGTCTCCACTAGTCCAGCACTATACCAACTTTTAAAAAATGATTACTTTGTAGGATGTTACATCAAAGTTCAAAATCGTCCCAAAGCCACTTTAAAATATGTAAAATTAAGTCTCATAATTAAGTAAAATTGAATTTAAACAAATTATTTGCTTTAGTACACTTTATTCTTTTTTGTATTAAATGAAATTTGAACAAACACAAGTGTTTTGCAGCATATTTAGGATGGGGATTACACGTGGTGGATAGGGAAGGTGAGAATTAGGTAGGGGTGAATACCTAAATAGGTGGATGAGGCAAAAATGGTTTAACTTGTACCCATTGGTTGCTAGGTATGGAATCTAGGGATGGGTTTTAAACTCAGGTGAGGATGAAAAGATTAGATGGAGATATAGATGGGAAGACCAAGATCCGCCTAGCCCTAATTAAATAGTTCAAGTTGGTCTGCCTTCAAATAATCCTTCTTTTATCTTTTTCCTAGTCCTAATTGAAATCATTATGAATTTAACATATATGGAGTACAATATTTTCTAAATAAATGTATATGAAAAATTAAATAGGGTAGCTTCAGCTTGTTATAATCCTATTAAGGGATGGATAGCCAACTTAGGTAAAGTTGGAGTGGTTTCAAAAAAAAAAAAAATAGACAAGTGTTTAGTCAACTTTAACGGTCAAACCATTACTAGATCAAACGAATGTTAGATATGCTCCGTGCTTACACCCACCTATAGACTAGGGAGAGACCAGTTACTCAGTTAGAGAGGAAAAGAAACGAAAATAGATGGAAGGACAAACTCTTAAACAAGAATTATAAAAAAAACTTATAAGTTCACTAAAAGATGCCACTTTCATAAGACAACAGATGAAAGCTAATTGGTATAGGCCTTTAGTCGAGTTCAAATTCTGATACAAAATTGTGATCACAACTGCCTAAGATTGTTCATAACCTCTAGAGATAATAGTATCAAAATCTTATACCGCGACTTTCTGAGCTTTGTTGAAACGGCCAGCAGGTGAATCTCTGTCTCGAGGTCGCCCATGCCTTCCGCCTCTGTTGAATTTTCCTCCCCTGAGCACCAAACAGCAGTTTCAGTCAAATCACTGAAACATCATTAAAATGTTTTTACAACCAAAATAATGGAATTATAAACAAACCTTCCTCTGTGTCCACCCCTATTATCCCGGAATTTCCCTTGACTTCCTTGAATTTGGCTCCAATATTCCTTCTCTTGGTCACCTGTAAGCAAGCCAAAGATTTAGCAGGTTGTTATGATAAATTGATAATAAACCCACACAATTAAAAAATTTCCATGATTTCAACAAATAGCAAAACCCTTTATTACCCACTATCTTTTTCCCATGTACACTCTCCACCACTCCATTTAACTGGAGGTGTGATTGGAAATTCAAAACATAACTAGTTCTCTTCCGACTACCAAATTTGTACACATGACTATTATATTTGACATATGGAGTAATTTAATTATAGTATATGCCAATTGATTTATTTATCAGGCTGCTAATACTCTAATAGCAAACAATTGAAACAATTTCTAACTGAATGAGAATTGCTTGCTACATACCAGTCACAGGTTCTAGAGCAGCGATAAAATTTTTAACAACTAAACCACCATCCTCTGTGAGCACTGCAGCAGCACGAGCTTTCTGGGATGCCTCTGGTTCCTCAAATCGAATGTATCCTGAACTTTCTCCCATCTTGAAATCTATGTACTTCGCACCAAAAAAAGTGAGACATGAACAAAAAATTAGTTTTAAAGATTTGCTGACTAGTTAACAAATACACGATTAAAAAACTGACAAGTTACTATAAAAAATATGTAATTCAAAAACTGAGAAGTCATGATATATTTTCAAGTAATTATAAGTTTTGTAGGCTCAAATCTATATGGTCAATTGGTCATACTCATTTACTCAAAAGTCATGTGTGCTTGGCATGATACTTTGTACAGAGTACCATAAAAGCTGTTAGTACTCGATATTTATTCCTGGTGATTGGCAAAAGCTATAAGAAGCAAAATGGAAAACTAAGGGAATTTGCCAAGAAACACTATAGAAATAGTGTAGAGTAATTAAGGATCTGACGTGTACAATTTATACCATCCCACAGTTCAGATGCAGAGGTAGTACCTTGACAGTGCCAAATTTCTGGAATAAAGCCTTCAGATCTTCACGAATAACCACATCCATGTTATCCTTGTAGGATTCAACAGCATTTCTGCCTTCTGGTGCTGCTTTTTCAACATCCTTTTTGTCAGCACTATCAGAAGATTTCTCTTCACCCTCAGTTTCCTTCTCTTCCTCGTCAGGAGTACCTGTTGCAGCTTCATCAGCATCTTCAACGGTACCATTTTTATCACTTTCTGCTGCCTTATCTGCCTCTTCAGTTCCATTTGTCACAGATTCTCCTCCATTTGTCTTAGAAACCTCAGCCTCACTAGCATGCTCAGCTGAACCATTTTGCTTGGATTCATCTCCTGATGACTTGCTTTTTAGCGTGAATGCAACAATTAGGCCCTTAGGATAGCTGAAACCATAGTGATGAAGATATTAGCATTTTTTGATAGAATGACTAATGCAAGAATAACTATTTTTCTGGCTTTATTGCCCCCTTTAGAAGATCACAATCAGATACGTACTTGGCTTCTTCAGAACTCTTAGACTTTCCCTGACCACGACCTGACTTTTCATATGCCTCTTCTAGCTTCTCTCTTTCAGCATCAAAGTCTTTCCTATTAACACAAAACACAGTATATTAAATGTACATTACCAACTGAAGTTAAGCAACATCCACAAGATTGGTTCATGTGAGTGACACTATAGCCTCCCAAGTGTACCAAAATTAAAAAAAAAAAAAAAAAAAAAAAAAAAAAAAAAAAAAAAGTTGCCCTTTTTTCGTAATTCTTTAAGAAAATGCTCATCTGAAACTTTTGTCACTTGGACTTCTACGGTTCTAGAAGTAATTTATACAGAATTTGACAAATTATACTTACTTTGGCTTGAGCTCCAGATCAGCACCAGCGTATGTTAAATTTTGTGCCATAATCTTCTCTGCATCTTCCTCTGTAGAATACTCAACCAAAGCAGTCCCGCAAAACAAGTTTTTGTGTGAAACAAGACGGGGAAGCCTGATACTGTTAACCTGTAGGAAGTAAATATACAAACCTGTATTAAAGGTACTACAAAATCGATCAAAATAGCCTCCAATGAATCACATTGACATATTTTGCTTCCAACTAGTGACAGTCAAAAGGCCCAATGGCAGCAAAATTAAAAAATGATGCTCCATTTGAGTGTGTGGTATATCACAAAAAAATTTAGATATGCTGCTTAACAATCAATGCATGAAGCTAACTTTATAAGTAGTATTCTCCAATTTGCTCACTGAACACCATCATGGCATCATCAGAGCAATAAATTTTCTAAAATATATTGATCATTGTAAATTCAATTCATCACATGTCCTGCTTGAGTGAAACCAAAAACTGAACTTTAACTCCTATGGAAATATCTCAGCAAGTATTCTTGTGCTACTTGGATTTTTTTACGCATGTGACTCTGGCTTTGAGAACCTTAAATACAGTGCAACACATCCCTAATAGGTTATAACTAAATAAATTGCAAAACTGACTCCCCTCCACCTAATTTATGGTCAACTGACGTAGAGAAACCAAGCATCGTGGACAAAAGGGGAAAAAATAGAAGGCAAAACCCTTGAGGATAATAGGCCTATAGCTCTCCATTCATGAATAACAACTCAAGTTAAAACAATTGCTTAATAAAAAAGGAATTTACACGCAAAAGAAGCAACTTGGATTACCTTTGCGAATTGAGAAAAGAAGGATTCTACATCTTCTAGCTTCACATCATATGGTAGTGGTGCTGCAGCTATTGTCCTGCTATCAACCTGTTCTATCACCTCTTCTGGTTTGTTAAGTTCAGATCTCCTACCAACCTTCTTTCCTGGAATATTTCATCATTTTGTTAGGAGGAAATAAAAAAAACCTCCATAACCCACATACTCCGTTAATATAAAAAGCATGGAAGGGTAAAACAAGAAATTGGAGGCCAATGAAGATTCTATAAGCATGCAACAAACCACAACAGAGCATTTTCTATT